CTTTGGGACTGAAGTCAGAGACCTGGACTGGAGAGATGGACCCAAGAGAGTGGGAGGCCTGGAAACAAAGCCGCGGCAGCAGAAGGAACTGCCCAGATGGCTGCAGAAAACCCCGTAGATACAACCACTGAAGAAAGAGGCACTGTACGTCCAGTGTCTCTAGCAGCCGCAGAGATGACTTATTAATTACAAAAGAAAGGACAGCACTGTATGGGGGAGAAGGCTGGCAGGCACCCCCTTAATCACGCGGTCAGAGTTAGCATCAGCGATGTTGGGGCCACAGCGACACTGTGGGTCTCCCAGTAAGATGCACCAAGAACATAGCATCCCTTCTGCAACATTCCTGCCAGAAATGCACAGCCCGATTGCAATCGCAAGGAAATACCAGGGAAATGTGCCTTGAGGGACATCCTAGAAAATCTCTGACCTGGACGCAAGGTCAAGGTCAAGAAAAACGGAAGACTAGTTCTAGCCTAGAGGAAACCAAAGAGATGTACAAAGTGAATGCACTGGGTGACCCTGGACTGGATCCAGCATGGAGGAAAGAGGTCTATAAAAAAGACCAGAAGTGGAAGATTAGTACGAAAGAATATGACTCGGTACAAAAAGAAATGAGCTATCAAGCAACCCCAAAACCAGGCAGGAAACTTAAATGCATATTATCAAATGAAAGAAGCCGATCTGAGAAGGCTCCATACTGTCTGATTTCAACTCTATGATGTTCTGGAAAAGACATAACTACGGAGATAGTAGAACAATCCATTGTTGCCAGGGGCTGGGTGGGGGAGGGATGAGTAGGTGGCGCAGAAGGCAAGTGGGCTGGGTGACGGGAGGATGAGGAAATAGAGCACATAGAGATGAACTTGTCTGGATTTCTGAAGTCAAAGACAAGTTTCAAAAACTTGATGTCCGAAGGGTTAGCGTAGACTCTTTCCTACATCGGCGGTAGCTTGTTGCTTCTGGGCTCGGTGGACGGATGGACAGACAGGGCCCTGGGATAACACAGCACATGGGTGGAGGCCCGTCCGGGGCTCTCTCCTTTTCAAGGTCAGAGACTGCGTGGTCCCATCCAAGCCCAGCCCTTTGACCAAGAAAGAGCCAAATTTAGCCCCCAAAGTTGCACAGTGAATCACACGGGGACAAAGCCAAGTGACATCTCCTCTGTCCCCACCTGAACTGGGCCCTTTGTCACATATGGAGAAGGGGCCAAGAGGCCACGCTCCTCCCACTAAAAAAAAGGTGGTTTTGAGTGGCAAAGGCCAGGCACGTGTGTGTTCCAGCATAGTACCTAGCACACAGGAGAGATTTTTAAAAAATCATACTTACCGAGAGAGAAAGTTACCATCTAACATGGAGAACTCACAAAGGCTTCCTTAGATTTAGTATCTGAGTTTTTCATCTGATCTGGAATGCCAATTGTGAGGTGTGTCATTATTTTACAAACCACTCAGGAAGGACAGAACCAACCAAGATGGGGCAGCTGACGAGAGACTCCACCTAAAGCTGGGGCGCCGAGGGGCCGTGCCTTCCCTTTCAGGGGAAACGAGGAGTAATCCCACCTCCCAGAAAGGGGAAGCAAGGAAATATGAGGTATGATCTTGGCACTGGGTGAAGCGAGGGGAATTCTTCCCTGCGAATGTGAGCCATAGGCTGGAGCTCCCAGAGGCCGGGTGTCTGAGTTTACACAATCAGTGTGAGCCAAAGGAAAACAAAACAGGACACCACCTGCAAGCAAAGATTTTCCATTTAGAGAAATCTCAGGTGGAGAGCGTCCTGGGTGGCGGAGGGAAGCAAGCCCAAATCCTCGCTGAGAGGAGTAGACCGTAGTAAGTCGCCCAAATTCCAGAAATGTGAAAATGTGAAAAATCACTAGTCTTAAGACCTACACAATATGATCAAGGAAATAAAATGCAACTTTGGGTCGCTCAGCATCTGGGGCTGCGCCAGGGTCCACAGCGTGCACGGGAGGCGTTTGCTCTCCACTCCTGCAAACCGGGGCACTGGCCCTGCTCCAGCTGACCCAAGCCACCAGAAACCCTTGCAAATCTGCTCTTCAACGCAAAGTTTGTCACAAGAAGGACTGCACCCCACTTCCCCGGGGCCAATGCAGAAATTCAGGCGACTCACGGCCCAGTTACAATTTAAAAAGCAATTACATTTCATGTGTCTGAAGGCTGCAGGCACGCGGATCCGGTGGCATTGAGCTGGCAAGTGTGTAGGAAGCTGCAAATTTAATAAATCTTAATTATTGTGTTTATACAAACAAGCAGGCTGAAGCCATTGACGTCGCTGGAGCTTTCAATGACTCGGTGCACGCAGAGAAAGAAAAAAAGTGTGGAGAACCAACTGCTCATAAATAATTAGCTTTGGGGCAGGTTTTTTTTCTTTCTTTTGGATTAAAAATCACATACGAAATGTTTTTAGGTTGGCAAGATTACAACGCCTGAAGACAGAGTCTATTTTCTGCCTGTCAGGCCTGCGTGCGTGTGTGTTTGTGTGTTTGTGCACAGTGCACGCACGCACATGCCCACACACCGAGCACAAGAACCAAACCGAAGGGAAGAATCCCCCCACCCTCAGAAGCGTCACTGCTCCCTTGGTTCGCAGAAAGATAAGCAGGTGCGGTGTCCAAAGAAGTCTTTGGGGCCCCATTTACATGGCAATTAAGAACCTACTGTGCGCAGTTGTTACAAGAACTCTGCCTACCCTTAGCTCGGTGGACCCTCATTCTGTTCTGTGCAAAACGGGCTGAGGGACTCGTCAACAGGAACACACAGTAACGGTGGGTCCTAGATTCAGATCCAGGGCGCAGAGCTGTGGTTCTCAGAGTAGAGATTCAGCGCCAGTGAATCAAACACTCGGGGTGGGACCCAGAAATCTGTGCTTAAGCTGTCACATAAGTGATCCCAAGATGGCCTCTGCACACTGGCTTGTAGGCTGCTTACTTCTCTGCAGCGGGCTTAGCAAAAGCCAGCCAGCAAGCACCGAACTCAAATTTTCACACACCCAATTATTTTACCCAGAGACCGAATAAGCACATTTTTTCTTAGCCATGTAGAGCCTGCCTGTTTTGCAGACCCTACAAAACTGTGCCCAACCTCTGCTGGTCATGGACAACACCTGTTATAAAGACCCGAATCCGCCGTTGCCCTTTGGGGCCCCTGCCCCAGAGACGCGCCGCTGTGCGGAGCACCACCAGCTAGACGTGTGAACCCTTCCTCCCAGGCACCCTCCACCCAGCTGGGACACGCGGTCCACTGGGGTGGGTCTCTGCTCTTGTGCTCACTGATGGATCCCAAGTGCCCGAATCAGTGCTTGGCACAAAGTCGGTGCTCAGTAAATCCTTGTGGAATGAGTGAATGAATGAATGAATGACAGACAGCAAATGAACACAAGGCTGTGGACACTCCACATTCAGCCAATCACAGGCTGCCAGGAAACTGAGCCTGGTCTAGAGGCCTGGTGCCCCCAGCCATGTGTCCCCCTACTCAGAAACATTCAGTGAGCACTCACTGTGTGCAAGGCATCAGGGGACCCAGACATGACTCCCACTGATTCCACCCAGGAACTCCAGATCAGATGGGGGCTCCCCAGGGAGGGGCTTAAAGTGTGGAGGCCACCAGGAGCCACGAGGCTAGACTGTGGGAGCCACCCCATCCTTCCTGATGCTCTTCCCCATTTCTTGGGGGAGGCTCTGTGTTATTCTAAATTGGGGGGAAAACCAGGCCTCTAGTCTCTCTGAAGAATTCTACAATCGTTCACATGATCTTCCACATTCATACATGAAGGAAGGAAAGTCAGCATTGATAATTCCATTTTCCAGATGGGGAACGTAAGCCCCGAGAGGCAAACAACTTGCCCAAAGCCACAAGGCTAGTTGACGCCGGGTCCAAAGCATAGCGTTGGTCTTGTGACGGCCCCACCCAGTCCAGGGGACACCCACTGCCCTGCAGATGTGAGACGTGAACCCCTCGCTGGAGACCAAGAAGAAATCCTGGTGTGCAAAGCACCTGGAAACAGATTCCATGGCATTAGGGATCTTGAGGAACCCAGAGCTCTTTGGGGCAGAGCACGCCGAAGGCTCACTTCGTTACCGGCCAGGGCTTGGCAGGGAAACAAGTGTGTTCTCTTGGAAAAGGTGACATCAACTTACACTGGGTTTTCTCTGAAGCAGGGATACCCAGGCCCCCAGGATGCCGTCTCCAAGGCACAGTGTGGAAAGTCAAGATGTGGGCTCTGGAGCCAGAGGCCAGAGACCACCCAGAAGCCGCATGCCTGGGCCGAACGAGGGATTCCAATCCTGTCGTGGCTCCGTTTCCTCGTGCTTAAGCGGAGGGAGTAACACCTCTTGAGCGTTGATGGGACAGTTAAATGAGATGCCCTGACCATGATTTAGCACGGTTCCTGGCACAGAGTGGACGGGCACTACCTGGCATCTCGAGTAATAATAATTGTTACTCATTAGCATTATTAATGCTGTTACTGTGACTGCTTTGGCCTGCAAGCACCACGGGAGTGGCTCTGAGCACTTCTCAGCGGGCCCGAGTGCAAGCACCTGCTGGTAGGACAGGAAAGGCACAACTCCCCTTTCCTCTTCTGTCCCCCCCGCCGCCATGCCCCAGACGCCCGTCACCACTCAGGGGGCCGCACGATCCAGTGTGCCCGGAATGGTCCGGGTTTCCTGGGACAGTCCTGGTGTGCACCCCGTTGTCACCACATAACCGTCCATTCCCCACCGTGTCCTGGTTTTGCATGAAAAACTCCAGGGTCCCTCCTCTATCATGGGTGTGTCACAGCTGAGTACATTCTGCACCCTCCTGGGTCTTCCCAAGGGCCCCGGGGCCCAGCACAGGGCAGCCCAGAACTCACTGCCCATAAAATGTGCCTCGGACCTCATGGAACCTTCCAGAAAGCCCAGGAATCTGGCTTCAGCATCGCAGGCCTACCAGCCTCCAGACGCCCTGCCCTCTAGCGTGTGCAGCAGATGGCAGACACGGTACCTTCTGGAATCCAGTCGGCTCCCCTGGAGAACTCTGTGTCTGTTATTTTCGGGAAGGAGAGGAAAAGGGGAAAAAAGACGTTAAGTGAGTGAAACTCAAATCCCAACAGAGCCTGTAATGGAATATTCATTCTGTCAGGGGAGTGTTTCTTTAAAACTTCTGGTCATCTGGATAGGCTGAACCAGCAGGTGATTCGATTTAATGAGCTTTTTAACGCACTTCAGGCCCAGGTGGGATTCCGTCTGGGAAGGCCTGGGCGGGCGGCCACGAGGCTGGGGCTGCACTGACACCTAGTGGCCAGCATGGCTGTTGCAGGGACCGCGGAGCTGGAGCGCCAAAGCTTGGCGTCTGGGGAGGCCATCTCAACGGCCCCCCATCTGGGGCTAAGCCTTGTGCCTCAGTTTCCCCGTCGCTTCTCGGGGAATAACAACAGCATCTCCTTTATAGGGCTGTTACGAGGACATCGCACTTCATAAAGGCTCTCATGACTATTACTATTGTTTTGTGCAAAGGGACACGGGGACCCCAGGGCCATGCTCCCCTCTATCACGCCTTCCCCAGCGGGGCATTCTGAATGCTGGCTCTGCTGCTTCCCAGCTCCATGACTCCAGGAGTTCCAATTCTCAGAGTCTCAGCCATCACCGCCCCCCCCGCCAGCCCTTTGGAGACTGGAGACAGGACTGAATGGGGTCCTGAAGGTTTCAGCTCAGAAGGCAGCAAAGCGCTCCTGAAACATTAACCGGGATGGCTCCTGCCATCGTTCCTGGAGCGCCAGTCACATGGGGTGGCAGGATGGCCACGTGACATCTTAAAGCCAAGCACTAGGACCCGTGAGCATGGCCCAGCTCTGTCTCCCCACATGAACCTGGGCTCAGCCGGAGTCCCATCCCCGGGGCCTGGGGCCGCGCTTCCTTAGCACCTACCAGCAGGTAGCCAGAGTCCTTGAGCTTGGACTTGTACAGCATCCACTGGTAACGCAAGTCCTCCAGCTCGTTGGAGGTCTCCCTTGCTGGCCCGAGATGGAGGAGGTTCTCGAAGAGATGCTGACCTTCTGGCACCCGAGCCTCCAGCTCCTGTGGGGGAAAAGCAGTGTCACATGTGCCCTCCAGATGGCCCAGACGGCCCCACCGGGACGGTCAGCAGGAGCCTGTCAAATTTCACTTGAGAGGAGGCTGGCAGAGCCTGTAAAGTGAGCATCCCATCGTGCAAATCCACGGGCAGTCACTTTCTGGAACAATACAGAATGACCTCCACGGTCACTTCCATCTCTGATGTTCTAGAACCAAGTCCTCTGGAGGGCTTGACATAAGAGTTGCCATCATTATAAAAAGCTATGACTTTTCTGTTGGCATGGTTAAGCCTGGGCGTGTGCTATTGGGATTGGGCAGATTATCTTCGGGACTCCTGAGCCGTAGTGATGTGGGGGTAAGAGTGGGGCTCTAAATCGGAGTGCATGGGTCTAAATTCTGGCTTTGTAGCCCTGCTTTCACCCCACCCTGCTCGTAGTGTGATACGGGCAGTTTGCTTAGCTTCTCAGAACCCACTAGAATGAGAGCTGTACAAGAGTAAGGAGGCTTAACCTGGGGCAATTGCAAGTCGTCTCTGATACGGCTGGAGTTGGGCAGTGATGGCGAGAAATGAGTCGTGGCCAAATGTGAGGTAGGAGGTCTGCGGGAAGGACTCCCTGCTCATAATCCCCTAGGTGATTGGACCAAACCTCGAGAGGACAAAGTATTAAAAACACTTAAAAGGCATCAAAGAGTTGGCAAGAGGGCGAGGCACATCAGGCTAAAATCTGGGAAGTGATGAAGCCCAGAGAAGTAAGCCCAGTGTTTAGGCCTGCTTTTGCCTGCAGGACACCTGCCGTTCTGGAAGAAACAGTTGTGAAACAGATCATGCTTTTGGCAGCCTCACTGGGGCTATGGAGACAAAGGTCAAGGTCTGGGCTCTGTAGGGGTGGAGACTCTCATAACCCGCTCCCCCTGTGGCTGAGGCTCCTAAAGGTGAATCCGAAATAAACTCACACCCTGTGTGGACCGAAGCCCACTCCAAGTCACCAGGAGCGCAGGGAGCCTCCAACATTGAACTTCGATTCCCTGGCTTCAGAACAAGAAAGCCCTCCTTGCCTGGAAGCCACAAACAAAATCCCCTCTGGAGAAGAGATGATCCTCAACCTCAAATGACCCCCATAATACCTCTATCACACATAATCAAAGCAGCCCCAGGGCGCCTGGGTGGCTCAGTTGGTTAAAGCAACTGCCTTCGGCTCAGGTCATGATCCTGGAGTCCCGGGATCGAGTCCCACATCGGGCTCCCTGCTCAGCGAGGAGCCTGCTTCTCCCTCTGACCCTCTCCCCTCTCATGTACTCTCTCTCATTCTCGCTCTCTCAAATAAATAAATAAATCTTTAAAAAAAAAAAAAAAGCAGCCCCATACATGCAAGACACCGACAACAAGAACAGGCAGAAACAACACGCAGAAAAAACGTTCCTAAAATGACTTAAGATATTAGAATTATTAGACACACTCGTTATTAGACACACTCGGTAAAACAGGTCTCTTTACTAGGCTCGAAGAATTAAAAGCCAGGCTTAAAAAGTTCAGCAGGGATCTGGAAGCTACGAAAAGTGACAGAGTGATATTTCAAGAGAACTGGGTAGAAATTCTAGAACAGGGGAATATAGTATCAAAAGTTGAAGGCATAACAGACATGTGTAATAGTGAATGAGACACAGCTAAAGAGAGAATTAGTAAACTGGAAGGTAGGGTAGAAAAACTCTCCAGAATGCAACAGGAAGAGACTTGAGGATGAACAAGACACAAGAGAAGGGAGGAGACATAGAGCCCACAGTGAGAAGGAATACCATGTTTCAGCAGCAACACAGAAGGAGAGGGGAAGAGAAACAAGGCGATATGTTAAGAGGCAATAAGTTAAGAAAGTATCAGAGAATTTTCCAGAAAGACTCTAGACCACAGATTCCAGAATCCAGATGAATTCCAAATAAGAGAACTGAAAAGAAATCCAAACCCTAACATATCATAGTAGAACTGCTGAGAAATTAGGAAAGACAGGTAGGCTGGGGCTTGGTTGAGAATGACCTCATGTGATATGCTTAAGGTGGGGGTGGGGTTGGACTCTATACTGAAAGGTTCTCGTCAAGGGAAGAACAAAGCCAGATTTATGATGCTGAAGGTCACTCTGGCTGCAGAATTGAGCTGTGACCTGGATGGGGGCCCAAAAGGAAGGAAGGAGGCCAGCTGAGAACCTACTGCCATAAATCAAGGTTAGAGATGGTAAGTACCTAGATTAACATAGTGGTAGCAAGAGGGTGCAGAACAAAACACACCCAGGAGGTGGAATCCAGGAGGGGTGGGGGACTATTTAGATGTGGGAGTGGAGTAGAAAGAAGACTGGTGGTAGAAGGATGGCAAAAATGACAACGATGCTCCCATCCCACCTCCCCCCGCCATATCCATTCCCTTTGTAATATGACCTTGAGTCCTTCCCTTCAAGAGGTGGAGTCTGTTTTCCCTCCGCATGAATCTGGCTTGGCCTTGTGATTTTCTTTGTCCAACAGAATACAGGACAAGTAATGCGGCAGTTCCTACTCTAGGCCCCAGAAGCCTTGGGTGCTCCCACTCGCCCTTGGACAATGCCTCTGCTACTAGAAGCCTGGGCTGCCCCACAAGAGGAGAAGAGATGTGTGGTCCATCTCATGCTCATCTCCAGCAGCCTGCCAACCCCCAGAGTAGAGCCACCCAGCCAACCTATAACTGACAGCAAATCAGGGAGCCCCACAAAACCAGAAGCATTGCCCCGATGGGCTTAGCCTAGATTGCCAAACTTCTGAATCATGAGTTAAATGAGCATGTGCTGTCTGAAGCCACAAATGGTTGGGATGATTTGTTACACAGCAACAGCTAACTGATTTCAGAGTCGTGATTAGTAGTGATATTTTCCAAGTTGGGGAAATACAGACGTAGGCTGAATGAATGAATGGTTCTTCTAAAATACATGAACCAAAAAAGTTTAAGAACTGTTATTTATACACAAATAAAAATGGCTCACAAGCCATGTGTGTGCTCTTTTTTTTTTTTGAAGAACTCCCTGGTGGCAAACCCGTCCACGGGGGCAAACCCTGTGGACAGAGGGCCTTTCCGTGGGAACAAACCTGTAGCTTCGTTTCCCTGGTCTTCAAATCCTTGGCGGTGGCCGTTCTCATCGCGATGATTCTAACCAGCTTGGCATTTTCCACCTCTAACCACTGCTCGAAGTCCCTCAGGAGCTGGGAGAAACCTTCATGGCTGCCGTCTTCCTGGAGCGGGTTTGCCTGAAGGAACACGCAGCAGCATGACCAATGCATCAGAGGTGAAACAGCCCCCTGGGCCCGCATCCCGGGGGTCTCCTCTGAGGTAGAGGGTGGGGATGAGGATGCCCAAAGGTAAGGAGAGAGGCCTGGGTGGGAGGGGGCACGTCTCTCCATTCAGTGTGGCCACGTTAGGAGTTTAATTCTGATTCAGGTCCGGGGGTCCTGCGGGGTTGGGGTGGCCCAGGGGGTCAGTGTGGGCTGGTGCTCAGGGCGCCCTGGGCCCCCCGGGGCTGTGCCGCGGGACCTCGTGGATGGGTGCCTGCAGACCGCGCAGGATCACTGCACTTTCAGCCCCGAGCTGCTGGAGCTGTGACAGTGGGTCATCGTGGTCACCTGCTGTCTCCTAGTGGCAGCCACCACCATTCCTTGCCAGGATGGCTATAACGGTGGTCACCCTTGCACACACCTGTCCCTCTCCGGGCTCTGCAGCCAGAGGGAGCCGTCTAAAATGCAAGTCCGTCCAGCAAGGCCGTCGGTGTGGCCCTCTGAGAGCCTCAGTCCTGGCTCTGCTGGACCCCATGCCGCCAACCACCTTCCCGCCAACACCCCCACCCCCGGAGCCCGAGCCCCAGACACCTCTTGACCCCTGGCACTTGTGCTCTCTCCCTCTGTGTGTCTCACACCATCTCCTCTGCACGGGACACACCCCTCCTCTCCTCTCCCTGACTCCCGCTGGGCCATGAGGATTCCCCTACGTTTTCCCAGGAGGCCTTTGCTGTCTCTGAACTGGGTCCCCGTCTCTCTGCATCAGCTCCTACAGCATCTGCCCTCTGCCCCAGCCCACTGCCCTTACTTAACTGCCTGTGGTTCCCACTTCCTCGCTCCTCAAAATGCGCTCCGAGGCCTAGCAGCCCGGGCGTCCCCCTCCAGCTTCAAGAAATGCAGAGTCCTGGGCCCTGCCGAAGCGGGATCTGCGTTTTCCTACGCGGGGAGCACACTGCAGTGTCAAGAGGCTCTGCACTGGGGTCTGCGTTCCTGCGGGTCAGAAGCGCCTCCGCTTCGCCCACAGCTGGCTCCGGCCCCGAGCGCAGGCGTCCGGGGACAGCCACGCTCGGCAGGTGATTCGGGAAGGGGCAGTACAAGAATACAGGGGAGACTGAGAGCTGGCGTGTGGCTTCTGAAGAACGAGGAGGGAACGTCTTTGCAATGCTGTTCCTTGTTTTAAAAGCCGTCAAGAGAAGGGATGGACACTAGGTCATTAGGCTAGATCTTTTGGACAAAATACAGCTTATGGCACAAAAAAGGGACCCAGCCTGCATGACTCAATCCGGGGCCAGCAGGAAGCTCTCAGCCCTGTAGGGCCGGCTGGCTACGTCTTCTCCGAGGGGTGAGGACCTGTCTGCCCGAGGGACGCTTCTGACCTTCCCTGTGGCCTGGGTCTGGGGTCTCCGGGTCCCTTTGTGCCGTGGCACAAGGAGCAGGGACAGGTTCACCCAGGATGGGACGTGGCCGAGTCCTGAGCTGAGCGTGTGGCCCCTGGAGGGGAGGGGGCTTTGTTGAGGACCACCCCCCGCATCCCTGACTCCGGCCCCAGCCTCCCAGGGCCCAGGGAGCCCCACTAGGCAGACGCACCTGACGGGGACGCCTGGAAACAGGATCCATGGGATCGATGAGAAACCCAGCCTTCGGGATGTTGTTGGTGAAAATCATTTTCTTCCCTGAATCCACTTCCGTCTTTTGCAGTTGCCGGTTTCTGATGAGGCTGAAGAGACGAACGACCGGCCCAGTCACTGCGGTGATGCAATGGGGACTCACCAGGTCACCGGGGCATCACGTGGCAGGAGCCGATCTTTCGGGTCGACTATCCTTCGGGTTTGTCAGAACGTTCCCCAGGCACGTGCATTCCCAGTTTCCCACTGGAGACCCACCTTATGCTGTCATTAAAGTGCCTATACCCATCGATGCAGGCGAGGCCCAAGCCAGCACGGGCTGGAGGCTCACCCCCCGCCGCCGCCCCGCTGGGGCACTCCCCGGCTTCTACTGCTCCCACTAGAACTGTCCTTGGGCCAGAGCGGAGATGCACGGAGGCACCTGGCGCCATGCTCGGCACCCAGCCGAACCCCAGCCTCCTGTTCTAAGGGCACCACTGAGCTCTCCCCTGCATGGAAAGGGGGTGTTGCCTGAGACTAGGCTCAGAGCCGGGGACCCCCTCACATCAGCAGGCTTTCCTCCAGCTGCCTCAGGGCCTGCCACGACTCCATCAGCTCCTCTAGCTCCTCCTGGACCACGGCAGCCCCTTCCGGAGAAGACTTCTTCATCACCAGCTGGCCGTGCGCTTCGACCAGGGGCAGCTGGGCCTCCTTCTCCGGGAATTCAGCCAGCAGCCTCTAAAGGACACACATGCGAACATGCAGCCCCCACAGTGAGCTCTCGGGGCAGGGGTCTCTGCTCCCCCGTGTGGAATCTTTGGCCTCCCAAGCCTGCCTTCTGGGAGGCAAGTGAGGGAACTGGGACAGCCACCTTACCTCGACTTTGACCTCTTGGGACTGGGCGTCCCATGGGCCCGCATCCTCCTGGTGTGATTCCAGCTTCTGAGTGACCATGGCAATCCACTGTCGCAGCTCCAGCAGCTCGTGGTGGAAGGTGCAGTGTTCCCGCACACTCTGCTGGCTCCTGTCCGTGAGATCCTGTAGCACAGCCCCGGGGGGCCCAGGGCGCTCTGAGCGCTGGCGGCCACTGGGACTCTGGGCCCCTCCATTCTGCAGGACCCCCGGACCTGCCCTGGGGCAAGATGCCCCCCCGCCAGGGCTCCCCACCCAGCAGGAACACAAGAGGTGAGTCCTCCCTTCTGCCCAGGACAGGGAATTTATTCTGGAAAAACCAACTCTGGTTTAAAGTATCTCTAAGCCTGTCTTAACTTTTATAGACGGTACCATGTCTGGATGAGGGTGTGGGCAATCGGAGCTCCTGCCCACCGCTAGTGTGGGTATCAATCATACCCCACTGGGGGAAACCCTAGGTCAGTATCTACTACAACTGAACACAGGCATCCCTATGACCCAACCGTTCCACCCTGGGTGTCTACATAACAGATACAAATATATTTTCACCAAAAGGCATGCATGTGGTGTTGCTTCTGATAGCCCCAAACTGGAAACTACCCAAGTGGCCATCAACAGAAGTATGGATACGTATGTTGAGGTCGCTTCAGACAGTGGAATATTTTACAGCAGCAAGAATGAGCAATCTACGCAACAATCTAATACATTATGAATGAGTGGACAGCTAGAAGCCAGAGACAAAAGAAAACGTTTCTGATTCAATGAAAATAACGTATAAAATCAGGCAAACCCAATCCATGGTGTTCCAAGTTGAAAGTCAGGTGCCAGGAGTGGTGGGCAGTGACCGTGGGGGGCATGAGAGCCTTTGGGGGCTGGGTGAAGCCACTATTATTCTGTGATTCTGTGTCATGATCTGGGTACTGGTAATGGGGACAGTTTTAAAAAATTCATCAAACTACACACTTAGATGTTTGCTTTTCTGTATCTGATTATACTCTAATAATTTTTGAAAATGGTCTTGCTTTCCCCGCCCCTCCCCCCCTCCTCTGGGTCAGCCACTCTCAGCTCTCTGAGGCTGGGGCCTTGTTCTTCTGTCTTCAGGGAAGGAGGGCCCCTGTCCTCCTGGTCACCCAACCTGGGGCCCTCTGAGCCCTCCCTCTTAGCCCACTGCAGAGCACTCAGACCCCAGGGTCTCCTGTGATCCCTGGCAGAGGCCACCATGGGCCCTGCCCTCCTGCATTCCAGATGCTGGCTGACACCATTGGACGCCAGGCCCACTAGAGCTGGGGACGCAGAGACAGTGCATCCCATCTTCCTGCAACAAACCAGTGACCAGAGCCTGAAGAGTCACCCAAGACTCCACTTCTCCACAATGTCACCACCACCACCACCCCTCCTGTCCCCTGCTCACCAGCTCAGACCCCATGCTTTCAATAGCCTCGGGTCGCTTAGGGGGGTAGGTGCCCCCCAGGGGGAGACAGGAGGATCACCTGGGCTGTGGGGGAAGGACTTATTAGCACTTATTAGATTTAAAAAGCCCTGAGTACCACAGTAATAAAAGGGGGGCACGACTTCTTTGAAGAAGTATGTAGACAATAAATGAAGAGTCACGAGAGCATTGGAGTATCAGCATTCCGCCAGCATTAGTTCATCTAGACCTTAGGCATCACTTAGATCAATGGGCATCTACAGGTGAAGCCGTGTTTCCTGGAAGCTCACGGGGCGGGGCGGGGGGGGAGGGGGGTTTGATTGTTGTGACAGTGATGGGGCAGGGATGACACCTGCAGATACAGTAAGAGCGACAGGTGTTGCCATCCTGCTGCCCCACGGCCTGCAAGGTTTCCTCGTGCCCTGCCTGAATCCACAGTGCTGAAAACCCTGCCCATCATGACCCGAGCTCGGACGCTTTCCCCAGATGAGGGACAAACACGGAGGTTTCTGCAGTTCTAATAAACATGCTGATTTTTCCAGGAATGCCTCTATTTCGTCAACTGATGGAAGACTGTGCTTTGGTGTGACTGAAACTTCACCAAAGGTTGTTCACATTTTCAGAGAATCTCATAAAGTAGAGGCATTTCGGCTGTCACCCAGGCGGGGCGCATCTTCCTGTGACCACCTTCAGCGCTTACATGAAAGACAAGCATTTTATTCTAACTTGCCCTTTTTCTTTCCTATTACAGGAAGGGCATTACATGCCATTCTTAAATTGTGTGGGTCACTTATACTCTCTCTGAGTTTCGGGATGGCATGGGATGTTGGGAACATTTGTTATTAAAATAGGCTGGGTCCGGTAGAGTGGAGAAGCCCACCTTAGACTAAGTTTTCTTGAGGAATGGCTGCCTGACAGCCGGCTCCACAATCCCCAGGGTACTCGTGACAAAGGCAGACCCAGGCCCCCATCTGAATCAGCCACTGAAACTTGTCCTCAGGCCAGTTTTGAAGAAGCCTGCACCCCATTCCATTCCCAGGGCTCAAGGGGCCATCAGAAACGTGCGTACCCCACGGAGCCCCAGGCGGCCGCTAGAGGGCACTGCAGAGGAGGCTCCGAGCAGCCGCCGTACAACGTTCAGTTGCCCTTAACACAGCCAATGCCCACTGCACCCCAGGGCTGCTGTGGGGAGCAGAGCAGCCTGTTCTGTTCCTTGGCCTCCTGGCACACTGGATTTGTATCTGAACCTGCTGCTTTGCTGACTCATGGTCCATCTACCCACTAGAATATAATCCCCCAGGGAGCAGGGGCTTTGGCTGTCTGGCTGGGGCCCAGAAGACTGCCTGGCATACAGGAGGCGCTCACTAATCATCTGCTGAATGAATGAGGAAGAGAAGAAAGGAAGGGAAAAAGAAAAATGGAAAGGTTTGAAGGAAAAAGGAAGAAAAGGCAGAGAAAGACCCCCGGAGTGTAGGATCCCAGGTGCCCAGGTTTACCTCCAGAGACCTCTGCAGGGCCTGGTAGTCGGTGGAAATCTGGTCCATTTTGTGCTGGTGGCTGGGGTTCCCTTGGACGAGAGGCCTCATGGCCTCCATCTGTGCCCCCAGGTCCAGCGCCTCTTCCTGCAGCCCCTGCAGGAAAAGCGAGTGTGGCTGTCCTGTTTGCCTCTTGTCATTGGAGCTGATCAGGGTGGGGGGCGCCTCTGAGTGGGGGAGCTTGGGAGGGTCCTGGCATGATGGGGCTACCCCACCCCGAGAGCTGCACCATATGGCCATCTGATGGGCCTCCTCTCAGAGCTGGTGAGATTTTTAAAAGGAGACAAAAATATTCTGGGACGGGGCGCCTGGGTGGCTCAGTCTGTTAAGTGTCTGCCTTTGGCTCAGGTCATGATCCCAGGGTCCTGGGATCAAGCCCTACGTCATGCTCTCTGCTCACCGGAGAGTCTGCTCCTCCCTCTCCCTCTGCCTGCCACTCCCCCTGCTCGAGCTGTCTCTCTCTCGTTCTGTCAAATAAATAAACAAAATCTTAAAAAAAAAAAAAAATTCTGGGACACCAGCCTGGAAGGCATCTCTGGGGAGCAAACTCCCATCTGAACTCTTACTTGATGACCACCTCTCTTTGTGAAGAATCACACCCCAACTTGAGTTTCAAAGCCCCCGAATGCACCATTTTTAATGTCTTCCCAAGAACCCTCTTAATGTATGCATGAGCTATGCTGGAGTTTTAAAACAATTGTATCGCACGCATTTAAAATCTTGCAAGCTCCTTATCAAGCCGATAATTATCAACAGTCAGCCTGTGTGCAGTCTGCATGTGTTTTAAAACATTTATTCTTACTTTCAAAATCCGGTTATTTAACTGGACCTCTGTACTCATGAGGAACACTTAGCAAAGCAATTTAAAGAAAAATGAATACACATGTTAGACTTTGGAATCACAGAGTAAACATCATTTTGTTGGGCTCCAGAATCCGCAGTTTGCAGGTACTAAAGGTCTCTCAGAGGCCAGAAACCACCAGATAAATCAGCAGCGATTCAGACGAAAGGTCAGAGCTCAGGTGAAGGGGCTCGGTGGTGGCTGTTTGGCCAGTTATTGCTGCCGGAGGGGAGCTGCTTCTGGGCGCAGCGGAGAACCCGAGCCAGGCCACTCGGGCCCCACCAAGCCCTTACCTGCAACCTTGAAAGCTGGGCCTGTTTCCCAGGAAGGTCCTGCTGAAGCCCATTCTCAGCTTGGACCCTGCCATGGAGGTCTGAGAGCTTCTTCTGGAGGGGCTTAAAAGCAGCCCCAAAATCTTTGTGTTGGGCCAGCAAGCTCTGCGGAGACACACAACGGGCAGCACAGAAATTAAGAAATTTCCTCACAGGCACCTTGTACAACCTGCCACTCACAACAATACGCTCTTTCTTCAGCCTTCTCCTGGCTGCCTCATACCCAGTCAGGCATCACCCCCTCCAGGAAGCCTTCCTGGAGCCCTTGCGGGGGTTGGACGCCCTCCTTGGAATCACCGTGGGGTCCTCACATGATGGCTGTTCTGCTCTCTAGTACAGAACTACATCTCGTAACACATCCACACCAGATCCCACCAGAGGCCTGTTTTTGTAAATAAAGTTTTATTGGGACACAGCCATGCCCACTCCTTTACAGCTGCTCTCCGGCTCCAAGGGCAGAGCTGGACGAGCTGCCGCAGAGACCCTCTGCCCCACTGACCCTCAGATGTGGGCTGAATGTTGGCTCCTTGGGTGAGACGGATCCCAGATGTGAAAGAAGCTCCCGGTGAGTGCCCGGCCCCTCTCAGAGCCCCGTGAGCAGCTCACGCTCAGCTCATGTCTGTTATGTGAAAGAATACACTCCCCATCACCCGCCACCTTACACCTTAACTTCGGGGTCGTCATTCAGAAATGTGTTCCTAATAATATTGGTGTTCAGCTCTATGGTGGTTTAATTTTACAGGCGATTTTCTCTGCATTTTCTCCTTTGACACCCGCCCCCACCCTTCTGGGGAAGCCAGTTCTGTGTGACAGCGGTGTAGAGGGCGGCTTGGAGGGGGGCAGAGGTGGGGGCGGCAGGTGCCTAGGACACCAGTGAGAAGGCTCGCTCGTTCACTGCACCCGGTGTACAGCCGAGGAGCTGAGGCCGTGGGGACAGAGGGAGAGGGCAGGCCACCCAGCGGCCAGTGGTGCAGCTGAGGCAGGAATGCAGGTCGCCCCCCTCCCTCCCAGGAAGGCCCGGGACACCCACCTGCAGCTTGCTTTTCCTCTGCAGAAGGCTGTTGTGCAGCAGGTCCCGGTCCCGCACGGAGCTCACCACCTGCTCCAAGAGGGCCGCCGCTCTGTCCTGGCCGAAGATGCTCCTCAGCAAGTCTTTCTTCAGCTGCAGCACCGTCAGCTGCTCCTTCAAGCGGGAGCTTTCGGCCAGGGCCGCCTACGGCAGACAAGGCGTCCGGTGAGTCCAGGGCCCCGGCAGGGCAGGCCCGGGCTGGGAAGCTGTCCAGGAGCGCATCTGTCCTACTGCACGTGCCCGGGGGACGCACGCCTTTGTGCCGGGGGTGGAGACGGCGGCAGGGTGCATCAGGGAGGCCCTGCATTTCAGGGTCAACGCGATTGCTCTCTCGCCCCCCACTTCCATCTTATCACCAAAGCCTGGGCAAGAACTCCACCTCCTCCCTAGCCACCCCCACTGCCACTGTCCGGTGATCCTTTCCTCAGTGACCCCCCCCACCCCACATCACCGACAGCAGTGGGACTACCCCTGGGAGTGATGTTTAGGACATTCTGAAGGGGCTAGGGGCCTAGGGGAGCATGGTCAGTGGGAATTCAGGAAGGCCCCCCAGAGGAGGTGACACGTGCGTGGAATCGTGATGTGTAGGAGCTCGCCAGGTGAAGGAAGGACCTAAAGGAGACTTATGTGATGAGTAGCTGGCTCCCACGCAGCCGGAACTCAGCACAGCCCAGGCCCCACCTCCTCCAGGAAGCCTGCCCTGACCACATCCCCAGCCTACACTCCCTCTTCCCGCCCCAAAGCCCTGGGCCGAGCCTCGGGTTCCTGCTGCTTAATTCGCTGCTTGGGGTAAGCACGTCTTGCTGCTCTGAGGGCCCAGGGGCCCGGAGGCCAAGGGTCTTGTCTTTAGCTGGCCAGAGTCCTTCCATTTTATACGTGTGATGTTGCTGAGATACTGAGCTAGCTACAGAGCTGGGAAGGAAGAACAAAGACCCCCAGCCAGGTAGGTAACTATAATTCAGGGCACAAAGTGATCATTTCCCTTAAAGTTTCGACGGAGCCCTATGGGTGTTCAAGGCAGAGCTGAACACTCCTGGTTGGGGAAATCTGAGAAGGCTCCCTAGAGGAGGCAATTTTGCCAGCAGCCCTGGGAGGGCAGAGAGAGTCCCCGGAGGAAGGGCAGCACAAACATGGCGGACACAACTGAACTGGTTTAACCTTCCCACGAAGGCATGTGGCTTGTGATCAGCCAGAGAGAGGACAAGCCTCTTTAGGGAGAAGGTGCCCTGCACTCCCTTTTCAGCAAACCTGGACACAGGAGTTAAGAATTCGGCCTGGCCATCGTGAGTGTGAATTCCATACTAGCTGGGAGGCCTTGGGTAGTTCTGAGACTCAGTCTCCTTATCTGCAAAAAACAGGCGTAGTCACACCCAACTCATGGGGCTGTATGAGGCTGACATGAGGGGAGGCCTAGACAGCATTTAACATGGTGCACATCCCACAGCGAGCACACACTAACAGACGGCCCTTCTCTGCTAGGGTCATTACACCAGCTCTTACGGGATGAACTGTGTCCCCTGCAAAAAGATATGAAGTCTTAGCCATCATCCCCCACAACTACCTCCGAATGTGACTTTATTTGGAGATAGGGTCTTCACCGAGGTAACCAAGCTGAAATGAGGTCACTAGGGTGGACCCGAATCCAATGTGACCCATGTGCTTATTAAAAGGGGAAATCTGGACCCAGACACACACACGTGGAGGGAAGAGAAGGGGAGAAGCTGTCCATGTGACCACAGAGGCCGAGATTGGAGGGATGGGTCTACAGGCCAGTGAACACCAACAACCACCAGCAAACACCAGGAGCTAGTGGAAGCAGGGAAGGCTTCTCCCCTAGAGGCTTCAGAGACAGCATGGCCCTCCAGACACCCTGATCGTGGCCTTGCCGTCTCTGGAACCATGAGAGAATGAGGTTCTGTTGCTCTAAGCCACTGAGTTTGGGCACTTTGTTACAGTCACCTCTGGAAACGAATATTTCAGCCACGTCCAACGTTGGGACCTAGTAGTGTCTCAGTTCTGGAGGAACTTTGCAAGTCCATAGGCTACTCTGAGGCTAGGTGTAGGAGCTGAGCCAAGATGTATCGGGCTGGCAGCTTGAGCTTAGCCCCTGAAAGCCATCCTTCCTGGGAAAGCCTGGTGAGCATAATCCAAGACATGATCCCAGCAGCAAACAGCATTTAAACATGGACAAACCCAGTCCTGCCCACTTTTCCAAAACACTGCTCTGCGAAACTCCTGTCCTGGGAGTCCTGAGTCACATTCTAGGAAGACAGTACCTCTCCCTCCTGCCTGGTACAGGTCCTGGTTAGCTTTCTGCTCCAGTGAGAAGGACAGGACGGAAATGCAATTGTGATCCAGCGGGAAAAGCACCTGCCGCCAAGTCAAACAGACCGGGGTCAAAGCCAGCCCTGACACTCAGTTGCTGTGTGACCTTGAGCAAGTGCCTTCCCCTCTCTGGGACACGGTTTCCTTAACAGTCAAAGGATAATAATAAAATTGTCTTGCCTTGCCTGCTTCATAAACCTGTTCCCAGGACCCAGTGTGAAAGCAGGAATAAGAATATAAGAGGAGAGGCTAGAACCCACCATTCTGGCCTCAGCTCTGCCTCTCAAGTGGCCTGAACTTGAACAAACGCCCTAACTTCTCCCTGGCTCCGGTCCCTCATCAGCAACATGAGGAGGAAAATGATGGAAATGGAGATCAAAATCTGTGTACATAGGTATTCAACATATAAAACTGATGACAAGGAAAACTGGAAACAACCTAAATATTGTAAGAATGGAAAAGCATATTATGCAGCCATTTAGAGTGATGACTTTTTGGAAACATTTTATCTTTTTTCCTTAAATTTGTAGTTGAAGTATAATAGACATATAACATTATATTGGTTTGAGATGCACAACATAACGAGTCAATATTTGTATATGCTGCAAAAATGATCACCACAATAAATCTAGTACCATCCGTCACCATAGAAAGTTAGAATTATTTTTTCCTAATGACAATGAGAACTTTTAAGATTTACTCTTTGGGCAATTTTCACTATGCATTACAATATTGACAATAGTCACCATGCTGGACCTGACATTCCCATGACTTATTTATTCTATAACTGCAAGTTTGTACACCTTGGACCCCCTTCACTCATTTTGCCTACCCCCGACACCCCGCCCCATTGGCCACCATCATTCTGTTCTCTGTGTCTACGAGTTTTGTTTTGTTTGTTTTTTGAGATTCCACATAGAGGTGGGATCGTGTGGTATTTGTCTTTCTCTGCTTGACTTATTTCACTTAATATAATGCCCCCAAGATCCATCCATGTTACTGTAAGTGGTAAGATTTCATTCTTTTTTATGGTTGAGTAGCATTCCATTATATATGAGATATATATATATATCACATCTTCTTTCATCCATTCATCCATCAGTGGACACTTTGGTTGTTTTCAGGCCTTCACTATTGTAAATAATGATGCAATGAACATGGAGGTGCAGATACCTTTTCGAATTAGTGTTTTTTGTTTTCTTTAGATAAATACCCAGAAGTGGAATTGCTGAATCATAGGGTAGTTCTACTTCTAATTTTTTGAGGAACTTTCATACTGTTTTCCACAGTGGCTGCATCACTTTATATCCCCACCAACAGTGCACGAGGGTTCCCTTTTCTCCATATCCTCACTAACACTTGTTATTTCTTATCTTTCTTATCTTTTTGATACTAGCCATTCTGACAGGTGTGAGGTGATATCTCATTGTGGTTTTTGCATTTCCCAGATGATGAGTGATGTTGAGCACCTTTTCATATGCCTATTGGCCACCTGTATGTTTTCTTTGGAAAAATGCCTATTCAGACCCTCTGCCCAGGTTCTGCTGAAAAATCTGCCTATAGTCTCCTGAAGTTTCCCTTGTACGTAACACATTATTTTTCTCTTGCTACTTTTAAGATTCTTTAAGTTTCGACATTTTAATTATCATGTGTCTCGGTATGGGTCACTTGGGGTTCATCTTATTTGGAACTCTCTGAGCTTCCTGGGCCTGGATGTTTGTTTCCTTCCCCAGGTTAGGGAAGTTTTCAGTCTTTACTTCTTCAAGTAAGTTTTCTGCCCCCCTTTATCTCTCTTCTCCTTCTGGGACATCTATAATGCAAATGTTATTCTGTCTGATGTTGTCTCCGAGGTCCCTTAAGCTATTTGCACTTTTTAAAATTCTTTTTTTCTTTTTGCTGCTCTGAGTGTGCTCCAGTACCCTGTCTTCTAGATCACAGATCCCTTCCTCTGCCGCATCTCGTCTGCTCCCGAACCCTCTAGTGTATTTTTCAGTTCAGTCACTGTATTCTTTGGTTCTGTGACTTCTGTTTGGTACTTTCTTGTATTTTATTTTATTTTATTTTATTTTTGTTGAAGTTCTCGTTGTGTTCACCCATTCTTCTCCCAAGATCAGTGAGCATCTTTATGACCATGACTTTGGACTCTTTATCAGGTATACTACTTATTTCCATTTCATTAGGGCTTTTTTTTTTTTTTCCCTGAGGTTTTATCTTGCTCTTTCATTTGGAACATATTCCTTGTTTCCTCATTTTGCTTAGCAATCAATGTTTGTTTCTATGTATTAGGCGAAGAAGCCACCTCTCCCAGTCTTGAAGGAGTGGCCTTGTATAGGATATTAAACTTATTGCTCAACCTTGCCCTAGCTCTTGGTTGTCTCTGAAACTTTTGTGCTTGTCTGAGCAGCCTGTTTTTGTTTTTTTTTTTAACGTAAGCTTTATGCTCAACGTGGGGCTCGAACTCATGGCCCTGAGCTCAAGAGTGGCATGCTCTACCGAATGAGCCAGCCAGGCACCACCAGCCTAATTTATTTCTAATAGCTCCCATTGTTGAGGGAGTACCAAGACCTGCCAGTGTGTGGGAAAAAGGAATCAATCAACATCCAGTTTCAGGCTAATTAGAAGCCAGACTCTCAGGCAACAGCTCTTACGTGAATATATATAGTTCTGTGGGACCGCAATTGTAAACCTTGCTGGTCTCCAGGCCAGGTGATCTGGAGGTGTCTGTCCCCTGTGCCAAGAAAAAGCTCAGATGTGCCAACTAAAAATATCAGAATATACAACTATATAACATGATCCCAAATATGCGAAAATTGTCACGAATTATTTAAGGCTTCTGTCTACTGGTGACCATATTGCACAGAAATGGCTAGATGGATTTTCATCAGATATAAAGGGTATGGTATTACTTGGGATTGTCTGAGCTAAAATTGATTTTTCTGACATGTAAAATCCTCAGGGCTCCCCAAAGTGAATTTTACATGTATTGAAGGGCCTCCCCAGAAATACCAGGTTGGATAGAAAATGTGATGTTGTGTCCCTCCACATGTTAACAGTGGTCCTAAGGGCTTGTGGGATTTTGGGCGTTTTTTGTTTCCTTCTTCACAAATCTTTACATCTCCAAGCAGGCACGACTTTCATAACCAGAATGAAAATTAATATAAAATGAGGCTTATAATCTGATACTCTTTTGTGTCTCCTCCCACTCAGTATGTCTTAGACTCGCTGGACCTGAAAGTATTTTATGGACGTCAGAGCTCCACAGGATACCATCAGGCAGTGTTGACAGGCTAATCAGAGCCTGCCTGTTGATGGGCAGTTGTGGTAGATGCCACCGTCTCCTCACCCAACATTCATTCCTCCTTCTTGCTCACCCAACAATGAGCAGTGTGTCTAGATGGCAAAGTGCCAGTCACAGGTGTCGAAATAAATTTCTAGGGTCAAGATGGGGCTGCTTCCACCCTGGATGCCAAGCAACAAGTGAAACTTCCAGGTAAGTTTTGAGTTCTCGTAAATGCTCTGCTTGGCCAGAAATGCATTATATCTAGTCTGCGATCCCCAAACATCAAGCCAACTCTTGGCCTTCTCAACCCAAACAAAGCTGGCCATTGGCCAATCAGATATTTTCTATCTGTTTTTTCCTTGTTCTTTATTCCGTATCCTATGAAACCTTCTGGCCGTCTGCCCCATTTTGCAGTTCTCCAAAAGGAGGCTGTCCACTTCATGAAGTGTTAAATAAAGTTTGTTCGTATCATCTAAATTGTCTTCTTTGATCACATTTTAACACAGGGTTATGTCTATAATCCATATAAGCTGGTCCTGGCAATCCCATCATTCTCAGCCAGTGATTGGCCGAGGGACAGTCATGTGACCTGGCCAACACTAGGTAAGGAATCTGCTTGGGCTTCTGGGAAGGAGGGTTTGCCTCCCTGTTCAAAATGGTGAATAGAGAAAGCCCTTTTTGCCCCCTTGCTGTTCCTTCTTGAACAAGATGTTGTTCACGTGAAGATGCAAGCTTGCTGTGGTGGCAGCCATCTTGGGGCCATGAAGGGAGATGTGGCTTGGAGCTAGAAAGAGCCTGGGTCCTAGAAGATACTGCTGAGCTATCAAGCCAGCCCTGAACCACCTGGAAGCCTCTGGATTTTAAGCTGCCATTGGTCAGAATTTCTGTCACTTGTCACATGCATCCTAACTGATACACATGCAGTAAAGGTAATGGCCTCATATGTTCTCCCTTAGAATTGCTCATGCTTCCCCCAGAGGACCATCTGCAGGAGGATCCTGGAGGGAAAGGGTGTGGGAGGGTCAGTACAAAGTCCTGCGGTCCACCCAAGAATTGAGGATGACCTTTGTCACTGATAACATTTCCTGTGCCAACTCAGGACTTGCCAGGCAGATGCAGCGAACTCTACCCAGATTCCTGGAGCACCCAGGAACACGCCTGTCCCTGGAAGTCGGGCTACAGTGTCATGTCTGGCTGGGGGCCTCCCTCCTCCCCCCCGGCCCCGCACTGGTCAGCCCTCCTGGCGGGACCTGGTTACCTCGATCTGGGGCAGGAAGGTGTGAATGGAGGGCAGGTCTGGCAGGCTGGCGGTAACATCCAGGAGCCTCTGGGCCAGGGCCCTCCACAGCTGCAGATCCTGCAGAGGCCGCTGGAAACGCTGCCACAGCTCCAGCCCTGTGGCATTGCGAAGCTTGGTGCTCTTCCCCTTCATGCTGCAAGGGGGAGAGAGGGGTCAGTTCAGAACTGAGGCCTCTACCGGGACCCCGAGGGAGCCCAGCGCACACTATCCCCATGGTGGGCTCTCCTCCATCCACACGCTGCTGGGAGTGGCCGTGGGGCCTCAGAGGTCTCCCCCTCTGGATTAACGTGCACTGGAAGTAAGCCAGTTCTCAGACAGACTTGCAGCCCAGCCTCATGACCAGAGAATCTCAAGCCTCGAAGAGGAATCATGGAGCCCCTAGCCTGGTACTGCCTATCCCCAGGCACCTCGCAGGAGCTAAAGCAAAATCGAAGAGACCATCACCCTGGGCCTTAATAATTTCTAGAAATAATCTCTCAACTACAACTTCCAGTCATAGGGAGCCAGCACATAAAACCTCAACAAGAGAAGCTGGATCCGGGCCCCTGCTCCGAGGTATAGACACACAGCAAGGGGGAGGCCCCCAAGTTCATTTGGAAGGAAGCTCTGTATCAGGCGGAAGGACGCAAGGTGCTCTGGATACGTGGACAGTTGTGCTGTGTTCACAACACCTCTGAGGCTCATGGAGCAAAAATAGCTACAGGTTGCAAATTTACACTGTGCTCAGCTCCAGCGCGGGTGGATCTTTGATCTGCTGGTGTTTGCTGAGCTAGACCACTGGAGCCCCGGCTCTGCCTGAGCCCAGGGGCCGAGGCGGAGGTAGAGGCTGGTCTGAAGACAGGCTCGGATGCTGAGTCAGCACCATCTGCAGGCAGCGGGGTGGTGTTTGTCTACTGAAGAGCCCTCCCTTTGGGCCATTACGTGGTGGACGCCTCCCCACTGTGATGCTACACAGAGACGGGATGGAAGTCAGTGAATGAGCCACGCCACATGGAACAAAGCTAAGTCCAGTCCTCCTTCTGGGAACAAAATGCCAGGGGTTGAGGGCGCCAGAATTATGTTAGAGTTACCAGGTGTGATGGCCTTCGATGAGGTCAAAAGACCCTTTGAGTGTGAGGTTCAAGGCACAGCCCGAGTCCCACCTCCCTCAGCCCGGATACCTCTGGAACTCCTGGAGGGCAGCGACCACGCTGTCGGAGAGAGGCTGCGGGTTACGGGAGAGGGTGATGAGCTCCTTCAGCTGGGCCTGCAGCCGGGCCACCCGGGGCTCTTCAGCGACCAGCGCTGTCCGCGTCGCCTACGACACAGGGACAAAACCAGAGGGGCGTGGGAGAGTCAGTGACCGGGGGACGAGTGTGGCAGGTGGGAGTGGGCTAGCCTGGGAGAAGCCCGTCACCCAGGGCAGGGACTGGGGTCTCCGGAAGCTCAGCCCTGCTCTCCCGCTCTGTGCCCTGACCTTGGGATTTGCTCTCACCAAGGTGGTTTTTCTATTATCACTGACCTCAGTGTTGTGCTGAGGGCCCGCACCTAATAATACAAAGAACGAGTATCTTGGGAACACTGCACCACGCTGAGTGCTCTGGGTGTCCCATTCACTGAAGCTGGGCAAAGACCCTAGGAAGTAATTCTCCGTGTCCCCATTGTATACCCAAGGGAACTCTGGCTGAGAGTTTCCTGACGGTTGCAGGGCAAGTAGACAGTGGACCTGACATGGGAGCTGGGCCCTCTGGCTCTTAGACTCTGCGGCACTAAAGGAAAACAACAATCTAAGGTGCTTTGTGAATCTGGTTCGTGTTATTGGCAGGCCGAGAGGATATTTCCCCTGAGCACTCTCGAACCACTCCACTCGCTGGACTGCATTCTGACACCAGACACAGCCCTTTCCTGCTGTCCTAGGAAGTGCGGAATTTGACCTTGACCTTGATGCTTGCTCGGCCCGTGCTCAGTAGGAGGTGAGATCAGGTAGTGTAAAGGGCTGGGCTTTGGCATGACACAGGCTGTCCGGGAAACCCCCTCGACCCCTTCCTAGCTGGGCAACCCCGGGCTGTTCCCTCATTGGTAAAATGGGGCCACCCCCTTGACCAGGCACTGGGTACAGAGCAGGAGCCTAGTCGTGCCCCTCCCCAGCTGCCCACCACGCAACCTTGAGCCTTGGTCCAGATCCTCCACTCACAGGGACTAGTGAACCAGCCAGCCTCAGTCTTGGGCGAACCACAAGTGAACTGGGACCAGCGTGGAGCTCAAGGGCGCAAGCTCAGATGGATGGGAGGCAGCCGCTAGGGGCAGGAGGGAACACCGTATGGGCAGCGGGATGCGGAATCTGTCCACATTCAATCATGAAGCAAATGTAATGAAATCCGTACAAGTTTTCATAGAAGAGGAAGACACAATTGGTGTGTGTGAACTCGCAGTTTCCAAACCATTCACAAGTAAGCCCCGCACACCCGCTCCCAGGAAGGCTGGCCACGCTGTGGACAAGAGACACTTGGCCTTCTGCACCCATGATGTGGGCATCTTGAGTTTCTGGATTGCTGGGATGCCCGGGAGGGGGGCCGTGTGAGGCAGCTGTGGTCGACGCTGCGTTAGCCACAAAACCGCTCTGATTTCAACCTCAGGCACAAAAAGTCTCCCTGAAGCCGATGAATGGTCCTGCCTGGTCTGCAGGGGGATGCCACAGATCACTCCCTGGCCCTGTTCTCTGTGGGGGAGGGTCTCGGGACTGGGACTGAGAGATCAGGACATCACGGCCAGCCTGAGCTCCGATGTCCTCGCTCCTGGTCCTTGCCTCTCACTGTGCTAATTTGCTAAAGCTGGGAGTCTGAGCTGTTACAGCGGGTTAGAAGCATGTGCTCTAGAGTTAGACTGTCTAGGTTCAAGTTCAAATCCCTGCCTCCACCTGTAGGGTCATAACCACAGGCAAGTCTTCAACTCATGAGTGCCTCAGTTTCCCCATCTATAAAAGGGGATCATGGCAGTGCCCCCCCCCCCTCCGGCAGAGGTTTGTCCAGCACTCAGCACATTGCATGCCAGGTAAATAATAACCGGACTGTGTCGGTTTGAAGGTGAACACGTGGCTCTTTCACCTGGGGTCCTGACACTACCACCTTCTCTGAAGTAGGCCTGTTTCTCAAAAGAGGGAACAGTCCACATTTCCTTCTTGGTGCAAGATGGGATACGTGCCCTCTACCTTTCCCCTGCTCTGCTGGGCCACGGCTGCTCCCGGCCGAACCAGGTGGGTTTCGTGGGCCTCGTCCCAGGGCACCCCGCCACTCCGAGGGCTGGGTTGGAGCAGGTCAGCTGTGTGTGTGCCTGCTTCCTCCTACAGAACGCATAGTAAGTGCAAACAACAACCGTGTGAATGCTCCCCTACGAACAAAAGTCAGAAACTCCACGCTTCCTTTCATTGATTGCAGTTAGTCACAGCTTGACTGTAATTGAGAAGACACTGGAACCAGGTGGGGCAGAGAGTTCGTAGGGAGGTGGTCAGCCTCCTGCCTCAGGACAGGCTTCCCGACACACAGCCGGGCGCAGGCAAGGAGCTCTCATGATGGGACAGAGGCAGGGCTTTCTAGGCTTTCCCTCCCGACTTTGTCCTCTTTGAGAACCGGCTTTGGCAGGTGCTATGCCAAGCACTTGTTAAGCTTTCATGGGTTCATTCCTGTTCTGCATACAACTGAGGTTTAAAGCACCTCTCCCAGGACCACGCAGTTAGCAAGGAGAGAATGCTGGACCTGCGCCCAGGCAGTCTGACCCGAAAGCCCCCGCCCTTGACCCCTGTGCTCTCCACCTCCACCTGCGCTGAGGCGGACAGTCCTAAAGAGGAAGCACGTTCCCTCTGGGCAAAGGTTGTCGCTGCAGTGGAATCTGGGCTGCTACGAGGCTCAGTGAGCCCTAAACACTATGTGCCTTGTTTCTACCCACACAAAAATATTTTTGCAGATGGGCAAGCATTAGAAGGAAGAGAAAAAACAGAACAACAATGCAGACTGGAGGTGGGATCTGGGTAGTTTTTCTTTTAGACATTTCCCCTAATGGCACTAATGTGGAGCTAACCCAATGAGTTAGTAAGTAAAGATAGGAGTGGGGGAGGATGTGAATCCTTATTTAGAAATCTCTCTGTCCATAAGTCAGACCTCCTGAGTGTGTACACGGGTGGGAGGAAGGCGAATGCACTCTGCACGCTGTGTCTGGGTGGGAAGCCACCCCACCCTCCCAGGATGCGCATTGTCTGCTGGGTCTCCCCCGAACCCCATCATCTCTACACTGAAGAACTTTCCCTCTGACCTAACTCTCCCTGTTCTGGGCTCAGGAAGTCCACCCCACATCCCACCACTGGGCAAGGGAATGGCAAACTCAAAGCCAATCCACCTCTGGTCTTATTTACCCTCTGACTCATCGTTTGATCCTGGGGATGTTGGGGGTGGGGGGAGTGAAATCTCTCCAGGCCTCAGTTTCCTCATCTGCAAAATGGGTACAAACACCTAACTTGCGTATTACACCCAGGGAACTCAGGTTACCAAAGATCCAGGGAAACCAAAGTGAGTGTACTTAAGGCTTAGCTTGATTCACGCCCCCTGCCTCCCCAGGCAAGGGAGCTCCAAGTGGTGACGCCCCGAGGCACACAGGGCACCTGGACGGTCCATGTCTTAGCCAAACGCTGCTTACCGAGTAAAGTCTCCAGCGGGCCACCAGCTCGTCCTCGGTCCCCGCCTTTGCTGCGGGCTCCAGGGCCTCCTTGGCCAGCCTCTGGAGGTCCTTCCTGAACTCTCCCAGCTCGGCCTCCAGCTGCTGCCACTGCTGCTCACAGGCCCCCATGGACCTGAGCAGGCCCTGCAGCCGCTCCTCCTCCTCCTTCCAGAGGACGCACAGCTTCTCCAGAACTCTGCGCATGTCCTCCAGTCCCTCGGTGATCCTCTCTGCACCCAGAGGAGAGGTGTTCTGGATGATGCCCACAGCCTGTTCCTCCAGCCTCCTCAAGGACTTCTCACCCTGGGGAAAATCATCGGTGATGTCCTAAAGGGGGCAGGGGGGTGGGGCGGAGACGGAGAAATGCATGAGGGGAGAGAGAAAAGATCTGCTGCATTTTCCCGAGTCCCGGGGAAGGTCATGCTAAACACCCATCCCTGATTCCCAGGTTAGAGTCCAGGGCGCCTTTCCAAGGAGTGGACTGTCTGCCTTCGTAGCATTGACTCGCAAGGTGAGGACAGAATTCCCTTCCGGTGTCTTTTATAGCCATTTGATTAAGTCAAGGAGAAAATCTCTGTTGGGTCTATCTTTAACCCTCTCTGACGTTTGTTGATCTTCCTTTTTAACGAGGACGGAGGCAGCCTCAGGCCTGGAGCCTTCGGCTGGCAAAAGTATGGAGCCAAAGAGAGCCTAGTGACCCCATTTGGTTTCATTATATTTATTTTATGGTTCTCTACAAATTAGGAGTGCTGGTTTTCCATTCATGACAATGATGTAGATTTTCCCTTCAAATAAAATATTCATCCACTTTTAATTAAAAAATTTATATAAACACCTTTAAATCTATTTTGTTTGAAAGTGCCTTCAAAATATTTCACTTTTTTATTGAACTGTCAACGCATGGAGTCAAGTATATAGATCCTAAGCACTACTGTTCAGATGGTTTTGAGAAATATTCACACCCGTGTAGTCCACACTGTGATCAAAATGTAGAGCATTTCTAATATCCCAAAAGCTTCTAGAACTCCACATATCTGAAATCATAGAATATATTAGCTTTGGAAACTGGCTTCTTTCAGCAAAATGCCCTTTAGATTCTTCCATGTTGTTGTATATATTAGTACTTTATTTTTTTTATTGTGAGTAGTATTTATATATATATCTCCTGTTCATATATATATATATTCATATATATCTATATCGATATCTATATATATATCTCCTGTTCATATATATATATATTCATATATATCTATATCGATATCTATATATATATCTCCTGTTCCACGATATGTTTATCCAGTACTCTGCTGATTAAAATCTGAGTTTGCTTTCAGTTTGGGACTATGACAAATACGGTCTGATGAACATTCTCATACTAGTCATGTAAGATGTTTTTGGGTCATTATTCACTGATTTTTTTAAAAAAGAGTCACCTTAAGTACAAATATGAAATAAATGGTACAGGGGCTGGATATCTATGGCAAAACTTATAATGTGGTCCTTGAATTGCTGACGGTAACTAACACTCCCTTTACAGAGGACGTCAGAAGCTCATTCAAGGTCACAGCCATTCAGGAAGGCCAGAGTGGACCAAGCCTCTCACCACCGCAGGCCTGATGCCTACACCAGGGTTCCTTACCCGAGGCATTCTGACACCTGCAGTGGGGTCACTCCATTGTGGGGGCTGCTCTGTGCATCACAAGATGCGTCGCAGCATCTCGGGCCTCCACCCACTAGATGCCATTAGCATCTCCACCCCCTGCTGTAACCACCAAAAGGTATCTCCAGACATTGCTGGAATGTCCCCTATTTGAGACCCACTGGTCCAGACCACGCTGCCCCCGCCTTGGGTTTCCAAATGCCCTGCTGGCTCAGAGATTTCCAGAAAGCAGCAGAGGCCCCAAACATATTGCACTAGATTCCATGCTTCTCATGTGGGGTCTGTGTGCCGTGGATTTTTGTATCTCGTGGCCCCCAGCACACCCTATTAAACAAACGACAACACAGAGCCCCCATATCTGAGCGTTTCCTCAGTGGCCCCCTCTGACAGAGACACAGCCCAGTTTACCTGCAGCATGGAGAGACGGTGCTGGGTGGACAGTCTGCAGCTCCGTCCCACGCAGCTGCTCACCTTTTCCACCACTGCCTTCAGCCACAACTGGAACTCGTCCACATCTGCCTGGAAATGCTCATGCTCCCGGGTCATCTGCTCCAGCAGACTCACTCTGTCCTGTGGGACAATCCAGGAGAGTCACCACCTCGGAAGGTCCCCAGCCCAGAGCGCCCCTGGCCTTCAAGGCCTGCCTCTGTGTGTGTGTGTGTGTGTGATGCAATCAACCCTCTGTCCTTTTGCCGAAGATAAAGACATCCCCAGATGCTCTTCTCTACCTTATTAGAGTCAACCAAGAAACTCTTGGTCAAAGCATGTCCACACTGGGCCTGTCAACGACATGTTTTCCTGCCATGTCCTGGGGGTAGCATTCAAGACGGGGGCATTGTAACAACTCCTGCTACACAAAGTGATCACTGGAGCACTCGCCAAGGTGCCAGGACCGCTCGAGGAACTTGAGGTGCATTACCATCCCATTGAGCTCTCCTGCCCACCCCATCAGCTGACACTATTATTATTATCCTGGTTTGACAGATGGGGAAACTGAGGCATGGAGCGATGCCTCAGAGAGCACTTGCCCCAGGTCACCTGGGTAGGAGAGCACCAAGATTCAAACCCAGAAGGCAAGACTGGCCCAATGGCATTTGTGCCCCGAGCCAGCCGTGTCTGCAGGGCATGCAAATAAGCAGCAGGCTGCCCCCATTTCCTCACGGGTATGGTGATGTTGCTAGCATGAGCTGGAGCCACCTCGCTTTGCAGACAATCCCACTCTCGCTCTCACCACTCAGGGACAAGATGGTGTCCTGAGGGCGGCTGTCATGGGGAAACAGCAGTGTCCCTGTTATAAGACCTGTGCCCCCAGGGACTCTGTTTCTCAAACATATCCCTGATCACACAGCCTCATTTCTCTAAAGCCCTCCATGGCTCCCCACTGCCCACAGGCCCAGATCTCAGTGCTGCAGCCTACGGGTCAAGGGCAGGGCCCTGCGGTCAACACCCTGGGCTCGGGAGCCCACTGCCCACAGCTTGAACCCTGGCCTGCCTCGTGCCTCCGTCTCCGCACCTGTACATACGGTTAATAATAACAGTCCCCCACCTCATTGGGGTGCAGTGGGATTAAATGCAGAGCTCACACAACCCCAGAATCATGCTGGGCAGCTAGTCAGCACCTAATACCTGTGAGCCTTTGATTCCTGTCACTTGCTGTTCCCTGTTCTCTCGTCACACGAGCGGGAGTGGGCAGGTGAGCAGCTCCACCCAGATACACTGACCCCCAGGCCCCACCTCCTCCGACTTGGCCCGCTGCCCCCAGGCTCAGTGAGCAGCCTTCCCTCTGTCCTGTGCTTTCCTCCTGGCCTTGCCCACGCCTTGTCATCCGCCGGGGGAGCCAAGGGCTCCCGACGCACCGGGCTCTGGTTGACTTCCTCCCCAGGCCCCGCGCAAGGTGGCTCTGTGAATGAACGCTTCCCTAAAGGCAGGGAGAAATCAACACGGAGTGTGGCTAGCAGAGAGAAGTTTTCAAGGAGAGCCAAGAAGAGCGAAAGAGGGGACTTCCTTTTCATAAGCACACGCTATGTGCCTAGAACCCTGGAACATGGCAAGCACGATCTTAATTTTCCCAATGATGCCAAGCCCGCCCATTATGCAGATGTCCAGGCTGATGTTGGGAGGTCACGTAACTCTTGAAGGGCCTTCTAGACAAGATTTCAAGTGGCCAGTGCCCAATTCCAAAATCACGGCTCCGATCCAGAGGTGGGCTGACTAGACAGTGGGTGTTTCCGGCTTTATCCGCCCTGTGGTGTCTTGTGCAGCCAGTTAAGGTGCTAGGTCGTGGCTCACAAGCTGCCAGAGGCAAACCCGTAAAGCAAGCTGTATTCCCATAAAACTCAAATGTGGACACTGGAATGTGAATTTCGTATCATTTTCACATGTCCTGAAAGATTCTGCTTTTTATTTTCCTCCCTTTAAGGAGGTAAAAGCCATTTTCAGCTCGCGGGCCGTACAAAATCAGGAGATGGGGCAGATTTGGCCCACAGGCCCTCGTTTGCTGGCTTCAGCTCTTACTTAGCCGGGGAGCCGGCTGTGTCCAGGAGGGCGCTGACCCTCTCCAAAACGGAGTCAAAAGTTCTCGAATGGGAAGTGTGGACAGACATGTGGATTCAGAAAACTTCCTTGCCCTTTGAGAAAGTCCTCACCACACCTGAAAATATGAATATTAATTCATTTAGACCTTTGCAACAACCAGGACAGGGAGGAGAAAATATCCCCATTTTGGAGATGGGGAAACTAAGGCACAGGACCAAGTCCTTCATTGAAGAGCTGGGAGCCTCCCACTAACAGACTGAGGCTCAGAGCATCACCAGCAGCGCACAGCGGCTGCCTGAATTCCAAACGTGGACCAAGAGACCATGGCCCTCTCCATCACGCCTCCCGTGCTGGCTCCCTCTTCCCGCAGGATTGTCTGCATCCATCAGAACCCTTCCAGAGCTGCCCCTGTCCCCGGGAAAGCCTCATTTCTGAAAGTGGGTCAGGAATAACAAGCAGAGAATAAATGCGGGGCCCCTGGTTGACGATGATGGTGATAAATGTTGTAGCAAAGCGAAGTCTCCCCCGGAAAGTGCTGGCCGGAGGCCCTGCATATGAGCAATGAGGTGCTGGCTGGCGCTTGGGAAACGCAGAGTAAATAAAAGCCTCCATGAGAGTGAGCAGACGCTCGGAGCCCAGCACGGCCGAGCGGGGCAGGCGTCCAGACCCGCTCTGTGCCAGGCAGAACGATCACAGAGCACAATTCAGCCTCGGCCAGGCCGGCTCCGCTGCAGGATGACAGGGGTGACAAATGGGGGAGTCCTCAACCTTCCCTCATCAGACCGAGCAATTAAACCATCGGTGGCAGGCAGAGTTGTCAGGAATGTCAAAACCCAACCAATTAACAAGGGCAGCGTGGATTGATGCCTCTGCAAGCCTGCGCCAACCGCTTTGATTCATGGCCCAGATGCCAGACGGACACTCCCCCTTCGAGAGCCGCCTCGGGAAGCGGGGGCGGCGGCGGGGGGATGCTGCTGGGCGCCTGGCCCTTTCACAAAATGTAAGTGGTGGATTAAAAATAAAACTCATAGTAAACAAGCAGGACCCCACTGGCAACCAGGCTGCTCTATTCCTGACTCTTGAGGTCTGGGGTTGACAATATGCCATTGCTCACCCCAGAGCTTGGCCGGCAGATCGAGTCCTGGGACCTCCCTCCAGGGGGTGGCCGCAAAGGCCACAGTCCAGAGGTGGCCCCCACAGTGCCTCTGTGCTCCTGTCCCCCGCAACACCAGTGGCTTTGCTAATGAACATATTGGAAGTCAAACATGGATTTTCAGGGGGTGAAAACTATGACCTGCTAACTAGCTTGAGAAATGCTGAAATGGACTCTTCATTGGGGAAAGGCAAGGGACTAATACAAAGCATGTCCGCTACAGACTGAGCTGTGACCCCCCGATTCATAGGTTGAAGCCCTAACCCCCAACGTGTTGGTATTTGGAGGTGGGGCCGTTGAGATTAGGATCACTTGAGGTCATGAGGGTGGGGTCCCCAGGATGGGATCGGTGCCCTTATAAGAAGAGACAGCAAAAGCTTACTGTCCCCCTCTCTCCGCCATGAGACCAAGAAGGCAGCCATCTACAAACCAAGAAAAGGCCCCTCACCAGGGGCTGAATCTGCCAATACCTTGATTTGGGACTTCACAGCCTACAAAGCCATGAGAAATACATTTGTGCTGTGGTGTTCTGTTATCGCAGCCTGAGCGGACTAGGACAACGCCACGGAGACCCACCCTGAGCACAGGCCTGGGTCCCTGGGGATTCTGACACGGCCCTTGTCCTGTCCCTGGGCTAGGAGCGTTTCAGCTGCCTGCCCTGGGATGGCTTTCTTATCTGCCTTGGGAAAGCCTTCCATGCAAGGTGAGGCCTTTGTCCAATGTCCAAGGCAGGTGCCCAGGAGGTATCTGGACCACGAAGGATCTTCAGGGACCCCAGGACATGCAGCGTTCCCCACCTTGCTTAGGATAGAGCTCGTGTATTTTCCTGTTGTCTAGGGCTGGAAGGCTGGGCTATGTCCCGGGGGGTTGGTGTGTGTTGGGGGGCTATATCCCATTTCACTAATGAGGACCTTGGGGTTGGACGTTAAATCTCTTACTAAGGACAGCGCCAAAGTTTGATTTGCTCAGTAAATTCTGTCTTTGGAAGCTCATGCCCCCCTCTAGAATCTGAAGGAAGCTGTAGTTTTTCTCCCCAGCAAAAGGCACTCATACAGGTTTGCATATGACTTCAGAGGGCTCGTAGGGGCCTGCCCTGGCCCCTCCCTAGCCGGCACCTCTGGTCTGCTATGGCCCAGTCCGGGGGAGACAAGCAGCAGCTCCGTGGCTCACCAGCCCCTCCCCGTCCACAGGCTGACAGGGCCCCCCATGAGTAAGAACAGAGCTCCCAAGGCTCTGGTGGCCAGGAAGAGAAAATCCAGTGTCTGTGAGCTTCAGCCAACAGCTGGAAAAGCCAAACTGAATTTACTTCTCCACGCAGGATCAGGTCACCCTGCAAACACGGGCACCCCCACGCTCCTGCCCCGCAGACCCTGCTAGCTGGTCTCTGCCTCCTGGAAACCCCAGAAAGCACAGTGCTCCCTCCTCCAGGAGCTCCAAACCTCCCACTCACTGCTGCCTTCCACTTTCTCAGCGTGACCCTCCCTGATGGGCACGGGGCCAGGACCTGAGGCACTGCTGAGGGTAGAGCTTACCCCGAGCGTCGCCTAGAACCTTCTGAGTCTTCCTAGTGGGACAGTGGGGCCTGCCACTTAGATGTTTGTTTAAGTCTGCAAAATGGGCCCAGTCAAACCTGCTCTATCTACCATACGAGAAGGCTGGGAGGACCAAATGAGCCCAAAGACACGAAGAGACTTAGAAAAGATAGACGTCGCCAAGAAGAATCGTGCTTTATGAGCTTTTGGATCCAGTGAGGGGAGGGTCCCCCGGAGTGACCTTGAGGATCTCTGAGGTGATCATTTCCCCACGTGGGCCAGGACTGGTGCTCACGAGGGGCCCCCGGCACGCCCCCTCCACACATGCGCACGCACACATACGCACACACGTGTACACACACACACACCCACAAGCCTAACTACTTTCCATTTCCTGTCCTCTGCATGCTGCAAAGGCTCTCTGCTGATTGACAGGAGCACCTGTTTCCTATAAAGTCACAACAAGGAGGCCACGGGGGCAGGCACCTTCTCTGCCTGGGCCCCAGGGGCAGACCTGGAGAATCATGATCCTTGCCACCACTCAGGACTTGGGGAGGGCCAACTGGCTATACATATGAGAGCCAGGCTCCCTACCCACGTTGCCCCTCCATTCTGGCCCGGATATAGCTGCCCCACAACCTCCTGTCCCTTCCCTCCGGGGCCTTGGGAACTGTGTGCCGCCAAGCTGAAGGGCGGGGCTCTCATTCATTCAACAAACAGCTCCGGGCACCTGCTGTGTCTCAAGCTCCATGGTGGTTGCTATTTATTCTCATTGCTATTGAGAGTAGAGGTAAATTTCTATTGGGAGGCCATCTGGCAGTTTTCAAAGGGCTCACTTGTGAACTCATTCAGTCCTCAGCCTGGTTGCAGGTAGGGTGAGCTGCCCCGAGGCCATGCAGCTGGGAAGCAGCAGAGCCTGGCTTGAACCCAGGTCCCTTCCCAAGCATTCAGGGACCTCAGTCCTGTTCTTGTTAGTGCATTCCAGGATCCCTGTTTGTTATAGGCCTGTTGCCCTTAAACTGTAATCAGGAAGGACCCAGCAATATGGTGGGCTAGAAAGCCTGAATACCCTTCCACGACCGACAGCCAAAACTGCTGCACAAAATTTAACAAGCGTTGTTTAAACGTAGGCCTGTGTGTGCACACACCAAGGGAAGAGACATGGAGTGGACCACAAGCAAAGATTAGAGATTGCTAAACTCACAGGTGTGCTTGAGGTTTTGCTGGGTTTAGTGCTCAGGTTCGTGGAGGAAGTAAGACTTTGGGCCCAGAGGAGGCAATGCCAAATGTCAGAACCCTTAAGGGAGAACTAGAAAAATCTCCCCATATGCAAAATACAAGAAAGAAGTCTGGGTTTCAGCTTGGGCTCTGGGATAAAAATAAAACCAAAACAAATGAGAAAAACAATCACCTTTCAGAGTACAGAGCCAGGGGCCTCTCACAGAATTTTGGCTTGGGTTCAAGTTTAGAAACAGGAACTCCCCAGCGAACACACTGATATGAACAGAGGACTCATGAAGGTGAATTCCTGGGGAAGCCTGGCTGAAGCAAACACAGGCCACTTGGAGGGTCAGGCCCCAGCCACAGAGATCTACAGATAGTCCTGCTCGGCACAAGCTCACAGCTCAAAACTACAAAGGCCCCAAGGAAATCATTCATCCCATCAGGAGACCCAGTGGACGTCAGGTCAGGCTCTGGACTTCAGCTACCTGAACAATCTGACGGAGATTGCAAACTACGTATACTTAGAATGCTTACAGATGGAGCCCCTATCTGGAAGGAGGGCAAAATTTATACAATGAGAGAAAGAACAATGGAGGTAATTAAAAAAAGAAAAATTAGAATTTCTTTAAAAAATACTCGTAATGGAAATTGATAACTCAACGGACTGGTTAAAAATCAAAGATATATGGGCCCGTTGGACTCCGTGCTCAGCGGGAAGTCTGCTTGAGATTCTCTCTCTCCCTCTGCCCCTCCTCCTGCTTGCACACTTTCAATAACTAACTAACTAACTAACTAACTAAGATCTGTAAAAAAAAAAAGTCAAGGATATAATGAGGTGTGGGTATGGGGACAAAGAATGGGCAGAAGGATTGGGGGAAGGTCAAAATCGAGCAGAGAAGGAAGGGCTGGAGGGTGGTAGAAGGGAAGGAGGGGTGGGGGGAAGAGGAGAGAAGCCGGGCAAAGGCGAGCATCACACCATCAGTCAGTGCACTAGGCGGCACCAGGTGTATGGGTGGTAGTCCATAGGCTGACGGGTGGGTGAAGGCGGAGGGGTGGGTGGGTGAGCAGATGGAAGGCAGATGTGTGGCAGTGAGGGGGTGGGTGGGCGAGTGCATGGACAGCGGGTGAATACGAGCTTGGTTAGGCTGGTGGGAGATGGCTGGATGAGTAACAGATGGCTGGGAGGGTGGGTACAGAGAGATGGTTGGGGGGTATGGGGATGGGTAGTGGGTGGGGGGATAGCGAATGGCAGATTGGGTAGTTCAGTGGGGAGACAGATGGGGAGTGGGTAGGAGGGCGAGCAGGTGGATGCGTGGTGGTGGCCGGTGGGTGACCGGGTGTTGGGTGGATGCACAGTAGATGGCGAGTACGGGGCGGGGGTAGATGTTTAGGGAGCGAACGTGTAGCTGCATGGGTAAACAGTGGCGGATAACTGGATGCAGGGGCGAAGCTAGAGCCCACCCCACCTCACGCACCTGGGCTTTGGCCTTCACCGCACCGTACTCGGCCTTCATCCTCTTCTGGGCATCTTCGTCCACACTGGGGTCCCCGATCCTGTTGAACAGGGAGGCCGCCTCCTCCAGCAGCCGGTCCAGGAGCACGGCCTGGTTGCCCACATTGTGCAGCAGCACCTGGGCGTGGCTCAGCTGCCACTGCTTCTCCTTCAGGCCCACCTGCAGCTCCACGGGGGCCTCCAGCACCACCATCATCTTCTGGAACCAGCGGTAGAACTCATCTCGAGCCAGCAGGTACTCGCTCCAGTGTAGCCACACCCACTCGATGCGGCTGCAGACAGAGAGCATGGGGCCATGATCCCCCGTGTCTAACAGTGTCCAGAGCGCAGGAGTATCTGGGGACTTGTCCCCGGCTCAGAGGGGCAGAAGGCTGGGGGCCTGTGTGTGGGTTCCAGAGGTGCCATGAGCTCGCTGCCTCTCCCTGCCTCCTCGCCCACCTCAGTTTCCCCGTCTGTAACATGGAGATGGCCCTGCCATCCAGCCCACATCAAACCACTTTGGAATTCTAGCAGACACCACTGGGCCAAGTCACCCCAGCCCTCAACATTCTGGTTTCATAAAGATGAAGGGGACGCTGGCGGCTGCCGTGTACTGAGGGCCTACTGTGCCTTGCCCTTGACATTTGTTATCCTCTTCCATCTTCTCGACCACCTTCAAGGAACACTTGATGACATCCCTTATCCAGATGAGGAGCCTGGCGCTCAGAGAGGTCAAGTAACTTTCCCAAGATCGCACAGCAAGTAGCCAGCACAGCAAGGGGCAATCTCAGGTCTGTCTAACCCCCATCCCTCCTTGGCTCCCAGGTCTAGGCAGAGATCTAGCCTGAATTGCTGGCAAGGCAATTTTCACTCCAGAGCCACTCTGCCATTCTGCTGGAGGACGAACACATGGCAAGTTACTAAGAACTAATTGTTGGCAAAACACGAGGGGGCTCCCACTGCCTATTATCATCATTAAGCTTGATTATAATTAGAAAGAGGCAGGCGGCGCTGGCCAAAATCCCAAGAGAACATCCTGTTCCCGGCGATCCCAGGACTGGAGAAATGTCCCTTGGGCAGAGGCCCCAGGACAGTGTGGTGGCGGCCAAGGAGGGTCCCCAGCAGCTGCAAAGGCCTGCCAGGGTCCCCAGCCACCCTACCTGTGACAGTGAGTCATGTAGGTGACCGTCTCCTCCCATTGGGCTTTGATGTCCTTCAGCTGGGCCAGGATCTCGGGCTTCTGGTCCTCACGGCAGCACGCCAGGAGGGTTTCGGCCACCCGCAGCACCAGGTCCACCTTCACGCGCCCCTCCGGCTCTAGCTGGCATAGTTTCTGTCGTGGACACAAAAGCCAGTTTCCAGGGGTCAGACAAAATACAAGCGGGCAGAGCCTTGGCAAGACAGTGGCATGTTGGCAAGAGCCAGGACTTGGAGGCCAGAGGGGCTGGGGTTCTCATCGGGGCCCCTGCATCCTTCTCCCGTGACTGTGGGCAGCCAGCTAACGGCCCTGAGGTTGGAAGCAGGGGGCCTCGGAGACGAGCGCACCACCACAGAGCTGATGATGTAACTTCCTTCCCTTCCCTACTTGGCCACTTCCAGCTCTGTGAACTCAGACAGGTTGCATTATTAGCAGCCTGGCACCCTGGACTTGGTTTTCTCATTTGTAAAATGGGATCATTCATAGTACCTAGCTCCCAGATTTTTTTTTTTTTTCAGTATGAAATGAGAAAATGCAAGGTGCATGTCACGGTGTGTGGGGCTGTGAGAATCTGCCTCGCAGGTCTACTGACGGAAGTGGGCTTGACCCAGGGCCCCTCGGCTGCTCCCTCCAGTGACCAAGCAGAAACACCAAGGCAGACCTGTTCCTATGGGCTTTTGGGCTCCTCTGATGGGTGACTGGTCCAGGAGGCTCCACGGCCTGGCCAGACTCCCTTAGAACCAACCCCAGTCCCAGACACTCCCTGATCTCCTAGACTGGGGGGTCGGACCTGTATCAGACTGACCTCAACCCCCCAGCCTCATGGGGCTCCCAAATCATTTTCTCTCACAGACATTTCCCTATCAAACATCTTGAGATTTTTTTAAAAAAAATTTTTTTAAGTTAAATTCAACTTAAGGAACATATAGTGTATTATTAGTTTCAAAGGTAGAGTTTAGTGATTCATCAGTTGCATATAACACCTAGTGCTCATTGCATCACGTGCCCTCCTTAATGCCCATCACCCGGTTACCCCATCCCCCCACCCACCTCCCCTCCCGCAACCCTCAGTTTGTTTCCTATGATTAAGAGTCGCTCATGGTTTGTCTCCCTCTGTTTTCTTCTTATTTTATTTTTCCTTCCCTTCCCCTATGTTCACCTGTTTTGTTTCTTAAATTCCACATATGAGTGAGATCATATGATAATTGTCTTTCTCTGATTGACTTATTTCGCTTAGCATAATACCCTCTAGTTCCATCCACGTTGTTGCAAATGGCAAGATTTCATTTTTTTGATGGCTGAGTAATATTCCATTGCATATATATATATACCACATCTTCTTTATCCATTCATCTGTCGATGGACACTGGGCTCTTTCCATAGTTCGGCTATTGTGGACATTGCTGCTATAAACATTGGGGTGTACGTACCCCTTCTGATCACTACATTTGTATCTTTGGGGTAAATACCTAGTAGTGCAATTGCTGGGTCGTAGGGTAGCTCTATTTTTGACTTTTTGAGGAACCTCCATACTGTTTTCCAGAGTGGCTGCACCAGCTTGCATTCCCACCAACAGTGTAAGAGGCTTCCCTTTTCTCTGCATCCCTGCCAACATGTGTCGTTTCCTGACTTGCTCATTTTAGCCATTCTGACTGGTTTGAGGTGGTATCTCATTGTGGTTTTGATTTGTATTTCCCTGATGCCAAGTGATGTTGAGCATTTTTTCATGTGTCTGTTGGCCGTTTGTATGTCTTCTTTGGAGAAGTGTCTGGGCATGTCTTCTGCCCATTTCTTGACTGGATTTTCTATTTTTTTGGGTGCTGAGTTTGATAAGTTCTTTTAGATTTTGGATACCAGTCCTTTATCTGATAAGACATTTGCAAATATCTTCTCTTATTCTGTAGGTTGTCTTTTAGTCTTGTTGACTGTTTCCTTTGCTGTGCAGAAGATTTTTATCTTGATGAAGTCCCAATAGTTCAGTTCTGCCTTTGTTTCTCTTGCCTCTGGAGACGTGTCTGGCAAGAAGTTGAGCGGCTGAGGTCGAAGAGGTTGCTGCCTGTGTTCTCCTTTAGGATTTTGATGGATTCCTGTCTCACATTTAGGTCTTTCATCCATTTTGAGTCTGTTTTTGTGTGTGGTGTAAGGAAATGGTCCAGTTTCATTCTTCTGCATGTGGCTGTCCAATTTTCCCAGCACCATTTATTGACGAGACTGTCTTTTTTGGACATTCTTTCCTGCTTTGTCAAAGATTAGTTGACCATAGAGTTGAGGGTCCATTTCTGGGCTCTCTATTCTGTTCCATTGATCTGTGTGTCTGTTTTTGAGCCAGTACCATGCTGTCTTGATGATGACAGCTTCGTAATAGAGCTGGAAGTCCGGAATTGTGATGCCGCCGGCTTTGCTTTTCTTTTTCAACATTCCTCTGGCTATTTGGGGTCTTTTCTCGTCCCATACACCTTTTAGGATTGTTTGTTCCAGCTCTGTGAAAAAATGATGATGGTATTTTGATAGGGATTGCCTTGGTAGCATCGACATTTTAACAATATTTATTCTTCCAACCCATGAGCATGGAATGTTTTTCTATTTCTTTGTGTCTTCCTCAATTTCTTTCATAAGTGTTCTATAGGTTTTTAGAGTACACATCCTTTACCTCTTTGGTTAGGCTTATTCCTAGGTATCTTATGGTTTTTGGTGCATTGCATGTAATGGGATCCATATAATTTGGTGCAATGCATATAAATGGGATCAATTCCTTGATTTCTCTTTCTTCTGCTTCATTGTTAGTATACAGAAATGCAACTGACTTCTGTGCATTGATTTTATATCTTGCGACTTTGCTGAATTCCTGTAGCAGTTCTAGCAATTTTTTTGCTGGAGGCTTTCGGGTTTTCTACATAGAGTATCATGTCATCTGCAAAGAGTGAAAGAGTGATTTCTTCTTTGCCAATTTGGCGCCTTTTGTTTCTTTTTGTTGTCTGATGCTGAGGCTAGGACTTCCAGTACTAAAACATCTTGAGCTTTTAATCTCATCTTGGCACTGGCCTCTTGGAGGACCCAGACTAATACACCATGTCTAGCAACTAGTACGCCTCTGATTAACATCAGCTCTTCTCCTTATTGATTGGTATTATTTACTTTTTTGGCCACTAAAGCGTGGTCTCTGCAGTAAAAGTACAACTGGATTCCAATGCCAAAGCCACTTCTTCCTACCTGCGTGACCTTCATCATGGTACTTAGATTCTCCGGGCCTGTGAAATGTGGGCCTTACGCCACCCAGGGTCATGGTCACATTCCCTGATGCAGGGAGAGCTCCGGGGCACAACGCCTGGCCACGTTCCACTGTCAGCCACTAAATAACTGTCCACTGTTAGTACTGTCTTTTCCCACCTTTGATCCCTGTTCACTGACAGCACATTTGCTTACAGCTCAAGCTCTGTTGCCCAGCCTGTCTCCCTGGGGGCTGGCAGCCAGCCTTCTCAGTATGAAATCCCAGGGGGCTGGCCGTCTCTGACCCTTCTCTGTGGTTGGCACCGGGACCGGCTGGGGGGAGCCAAACGGTTGAGCTATGATGTAGATCCTTTTCCAACATGTGCAAATGGGCAGTGGTGTCAATCCTTGTCACCTCACAGGAGAATGGTTACCGATGATGGTGGTGATGATGATGTTAGAGAGGGGCTTCCCCTCCTCCCTGTGTTATCAAAGAGAGACATTAAACAAGCTCCTTCCACAGGCTGTCTCTGTGGTCGATGAGTGTGGGGGTGGGGGGACGGGGAGAGTGGAGAGCAGGGAGCTACCCCAAGATGGGGAGAGAGGTTTTGTTTCCTTTTGGGCCCGGCCAAGCAGTGGGATAGAGCAGGGCCCCAGAGGGTCATGGCTGCAGCAAGAACCCAACAGAGACACCGAGTCCCGCTCAGCAGCAGGGAGTGATGTGGAAGACAAAGATACTCTAGTGATTAGCGTGGACCAAAGATCCAAGGGCCCCTGCGGAATGTTCTGGGCCGAACAAGACTACCCACCCCCTGCACAGAACATTTCACATCACTCAGGAGCAGGGGTCCCACAGTGAGGCTCGGGATTTCTTACCATCCCATGAGCTTTAATCTGATGAAGGACCTGAGATTTCTGACCCCCGGCGTCGAGGAGTAGACAGAATGTGCACACCCCAAGCTCACAAGAGAGGTGCCACGGTAACAACAGTTTTATAGAAGAGGGCACTGGGAACCCACAGAAACCTGGAGCTTTGGGGGACAGTTCTCTGCAGCGGTTGGAGCGGCCTTCTCATACCTGCTGTCCAAATGAGGCTCCATCAGAATCTAGCTCCATAAACCCAGGGAGCCAACAGCTGTGGGGGAAGACGCTGAGCTCAGTCTCTCCGTCACCCCCAGAGACAGCAAACCAGCCAGGCCTGGAAAGTCCCCTTGAGGACAACGGCCCTTTTCCCACAGCCTAGTGTCCTGACTGTGTGACCTCCTCTAGGCCTCTGGCCCTTTGCTCTCCTGCCTCCCCTGCTCAGACAGGTGCAGGCTGGATAGAGGGGACATGGCAGACCCCCCGATCCACTACCCTTTGCAGGGGAGTGAGTCTGTGGCTTCCCTACCAAAGAGAGGAGGGCCAGGCCCAAAGGCGGACAGAACACCAAGCCCCTCCTGGCCCAAAGCAGAAACCTCTGCCCCCAAACCAAAATACCAACCAATGGGATATTCACTGTCGGCCTGGGGCCAGGAGGCTGGGCCTAAGCTTTCAAGAAGAAAATTCCACTTTTCTTCACTGCTGTCATGATTACGCTCTCTCGCTGTGCGAGGTTCTTTTATAGCTGATGGAGGGCAAGATCCAGGAGTGCTTGGCAAGAGGGACTAGCCAGCTGGGAAGGGGTACTTGACCTGCAGCCACAGAATGATCCTGCTTGGAAGGAGCCAGTGAGGGCCACATTCAGGTGGGGGTTGGATGGAGGGAAAACCGCAGGGGAGAGAAGAACAACTAAATCAGGAAGGCTGGAGGAATGGGGTTAGTCAGAGCTTTCCCCAGTGCAGCCAAGATGAGGCAGGAACTGTGCTGGGTACTATGCTCAGTACTATGCTGGGTACTGTGCTCAGTACTATGCTGGGCACTATGTGCAGTACTGTGCTGGGTACCGAGTTGGGCACTGTGCTGGGTACTATACTGGGCATTGTGCTGGGCACTGTGTTGAGTACTATGTTTGGTATTGAGCTGGGCACTGTGCTGGGTGTATGCTCAGTACTGTGCTGAGTACTATGTGCAGTAGTGTGCTGGGTATTATGCTGTGCACTGTAGTGGGTACTATGCTGGACAGTGTGTTGAGTACTATGGTACTGAGTTGGGCACTGTGCTGGGTACTATGCTCAGTACTATGCAGGGTGTGGAATTGAGCACAGTGCTGGGTACTGTGCTGTACTATTCTGGGTACAATGCTAGGTACCATACGGGGTACTATTCTCAGTACTCTGCCGGGGACTGTGTTGGGCCCTGGGGTCCAGGATGAACAAGTAAGGCCTGGCGCTTGCAGGCTGTGGTGGGGTCTGCAGCCGAGAACACAGAGGACTGCAAACGGGCCACAGACACCGCAAAGTAATGATTGGAGCTCTAAGGAGGGATGTGGGGAAACCCAGGGAGGCTTTGTGAGGAGGGGGCGCTGGCACCAACTTTTAGGGACGTGGCAGCATCTGCAACGGGGGCTTGAGCAGAGGCAGAGAAGCACGATGTGTCCGGCACTTGGAAGCCAAGTCCTAGGAAATGCAGCCTGTCTCGGACCGCAGAGGGGGCGCCTGGAAGCCAGCTAGGAAGCAGCCCGGCGGAGGCAAGGCCCCGAGTGCAGGGCCATGGAGGCTGGGAACCAGAGGGCAAAGAGATGAGGTGCCGGGACCTGGGGGACCAGCTCCTGGAGACTCGGGCACAGGCGGCGAGGGTCGGCATGCACCTATCCCTGCATCGAAACCACGAGAAACCACCTCAGCCACTGGGCCAGCTCTGCCAGGGGGGCCTGCTGTTGGCCAAGGGCCCCACTAAGTCATTCGCCTCCACGTTCCGTCCCTCCCGCCGGGTGGCTACCTCCACGCCCACCTCCACCCCAACAAGCTGAAGCTCCAGGTGCTCCAGAAACTCTCCCGAGGCGCCACGGCCACGCGGGGATTCGAACCCCAGCCTGCCAGAGCCCTATTTCCCAGAGCAACACTCTCTCCAGTCTCCCTTCCCAGAAGGCTTCCACTACCCCGAGGGTCCTTGAGCTGCACAAGGGGGAGAGGGCTCTTCCCGCACTTTGCAGGAGGGCGCAGGACTTGCTCCTGGCCACACAGCTATGAGGCATCCCAGCCGGACTGGAACTCACGTCCTGGCTGCTCTAGCAAACAATTACCAGGAACGCGCATCACTGAGCTGGTGGGGCGGGGGGCGCCCATAAGGGAGACCCCCAGGCCCCAGAGAGGGGTCCCATGGATTGGAGAGGTGGAAAAGTCCCTAGCTGCTCCCTTCACCAGATGGCAAGAGCAAAAGGTTTTCTTTCTTATTGCGAAACTGGTTTTGAAATGTCAAAGCCCAGAAAAGAGCATGCCTGAGCCCTGTGGGAGAGCCAGCAGTGAAGGACCCAGGACAGGACGCCTCCGCCTAGGCTCCAAGTCAAGCCCCTGGGCCGGGCAAGGGCTCTTCCTAAGGACCACCCTCGCCTCGGAGGAGGGTAATGACCTGCTGGTGTAAGGGTCCGAGGTCCAAAGGCCCTGAGAGAGTGAGTACATATGCAGGGCTGTGGTGCTCCAAGACGGAGAGCATCAGGAGCTGGGGCACGATGAGGGGCGGGGGGCAGTGCTTCATTTCACAAGCACACCCACACCCACACTCAATAAAGGGCATTCCAAGTAGAGGCAAGAGCATAGGCCAGAGGCCTGCTGAGAGGACAGCTAGGCCATCTACCAACAGGAGAGGACTTGTGCTTGCTGGTGGTGGGGGGTGGGGGACAGTGCTGGAACAGCTGAGGCCGGAAAACAGGGTTGTGTAGGGTGTGGCAGACTTTGACACCAGGTGAAGTTTGGTTTTCCTTTGGTGGGCAATGGGGAGCCATAGAAGGTTTTAGAGGAGGAGAATAAGATCGATAACATCAGGACACCCTTGTGTGCTGTGGATTATGTGCATACCTGTCCCCCTTTATGTAGTGAGCCCTGGAGTAAGGTGGACCTTGCCTGCCTCCACTGCCCCAGGCCCCCGCGTGGGATGGCCAGTGACGCTCTGGACTCAGCCCTGGGTTCAAGCCCTGACAAGATCAATTTCTGGAGTTTTGGCTCATCACTGTGTCTAGGAATCACATTTTGTTATTGAAAAGTAGGGACAATAAAACCACATTCACAGGGCTTTTGTAAAATTAAACATGAAAGCGGAAAGGGCAGCGCCGAGCACGTAACAGGTGTCGAATGAACGTCGGGTCCCCTCTCTCGGTGATCTGGGAGGACTAATCATTGCATAAATGCCTCCTGGTAGCAATAATAATGCTGCTGATGAGAAAGGCCAAGTCTGACATGGGAAGGGGCTTCGGGCTGCCAACTCCTCTCCAATGGGAGAATCCTTTAACTCCTGACCATCCGAATTTCCAATCCATCATCCCCCTGTTGCAGAACAGATGTCCAAGCCCCCTGGCTTGCTGTTCCAGGCTGTCACCCTCTGACCCCTAACCACCTCTCTGGCCCTGCCCCCTGCTTCTGCCTGATGCTCGGTGCTACCCCATCACTAGCCTTGTTGGGGCTCCAACCATGTGCTTTGGGCTCTGCCCACCTCCAGGCCTTTCCTACACTGCTCCCTCTGCCTGGAGGCCCCTCCTCCCCATCCTCACCCCTGCATCCCCCCATCTGACTACCTCCTCTGTATTTGAGCTTCAACAGTAAAGTCATTTGTCCCCAGAGGCCTCCCTTGATCTCCCAGGCTGGGGGACGTGACCTCCTCGGGGTTCTCCAAGAGCCCTGGGTTCTCTGCTCACTTCACTGTCCAATTGGGAAGCCTCTGATCACATGACTTAAAAGTCTTCCCGCCTTTCTGCTATGATGGTCACTTGGTGGGGAGACTTTAACCAGCCCCATCAAGCACTTATTCTTGGTTGTCCTAGGAGGACACATGGCCCAGGATGGTGAGTGCTCAGATGGCGCTCCACCAGGAGGCAGGCAACATTCGCCACTGGGAGAGGCAGGGCCCTCCACGCCTACCTTGCAGGAGCAGGGCTGTATTTAATTAAGGTGTGTGTCGGGAGCAACCTGAGGTCAGGGGACAGGAATGAACCGATTACCTGGGGGTCCCAAGGTCATGGTCCGAGGCCTGACACAGGGGAGGCTAGTGAAAAATGTGATTCCACCAGAGTGGAGGCATGAGAAGCACCATTCTGAGATAATTAGCAGCATCCCCTTCTAGAAGGGAAGTAAATGGAAGACCAACAGGGTCAAATGACTTGCAGGGACTCACACAGCCAGCAAGCAGCAGAGCTGGGATTTGAACCCAAGATGTCCTGACTCCATAGCCTGTCCTCACTCAAATCCAGTGAGCTGTTCTATTAAACAGAATGTCCAAGAAACCAGAACGCATGCTCTCTGCCCCGCCAGGCACAGTTTTATTGTGAATACCCGTCTCTGGTCATTGAGGAGCACATGACCCTGTAGGGAAGCAGAAAGCTCATCTGACAAGGACTCAGAAGATTCAAATTCCAGGAACATCCCAATGGATGTGACCCAAGAAATGCATCAGTCCTGGCTTTGCTCACAGATGGGAAACAGAGGCCCAGAAAGGGGTAGGGACTTGGCCAAGGTCACACAGCACTTTAGCATCCTCATGGAGACTATAACCCAGGTCTCTGATTCATGCCCGGGTTCTTCCCCCTTGTCCCCTGGCCTGGAGCAGATGTCCTTGGATGGGGGCCCCATAACGCCAGGCCCTGGGCACCAGCTCTTCTAGTAGGCCTAGCACCACAGGCCCTGAGCCCTGCCTTGTGGGGAGCAAGGCCAGACCCTGGCCCTGGGGTCACTTCTCACTGGGCAGAACCCCTTCTCCACCCTCCTGAAGGCCGAACTGGACCCACCCAGACCTGGCAGGGACCTTAGGCTCAGGGATGCAGGGAAGCAGGAAGACACTGGGGACCCACCTGGCCGCGTGGTGCCTCTGCCGGGACAGAAGAACCAGACGGCCACTGAGAAAGTGTGGTCCTAGTACCAGCAGCAGCGCATCACCCGGAGCATGTTAGCGATGCCATGATGGGGCCCACTCTGACCTCCTGGATCAGAATCTGCACTCAAACCCAAAGCCACAGGAGATGCCAACACATCAAAGTTTGAGACACACCCCTTCCATTTAACAGCCTGGAAACCTGAGGCCTGAAGGGGGAGCGACATGGCCGAGGCCACGGGGCTACGGAAGCCATGGAAGCCATGGAAGCCACGGCCTCTGCATACCTCGGTCTCCCGCAGCCTGGCCTCCAGGGCTGCCCGGGGCCCCTGGGTGTTGTCGTTGATCTGCAGTCGCTCCTGCACGGCCTTCATCCACGCCCGGGCGTCCTCCACGCTCCTGTCGAAGCCCTCCTGGGGTGGCTGAGTCATGGCAGCTGCAGGGGCTGAAGGTAGGACCACATGAGATCAGGCCAGCAGGCGAGAACGTAGGGCGGCATGGGGGGTGGGGGAGGCGGGGACCGACGCTGGGGACAGACCCACACCCCACCAGCGCCCCTCCTGGTGCTCCCACTCGGCTACACAGTCCTCCAAAGGACCACGGAGAACAGGTCTCTCCTGTGGCTGAGCAGGGAGAGCTGGTCCAGGGCGCTGGGCTGGCAAGGATTCTCTCCGGCCTCTCAGCTTCCCTGCTTCCCACTCACCCTACCTGGGGACTCAGGACCAACCCTCTTCTGTCTGTGTGGGTTGAAGCGCCTCCAAAAGAGAATCCCAAAACACATACAATCTGAGATGTCCGTGATGCATAATGATTCATGATCTGAATGGATCAAGAAGCCTCAACTGAAGAAATAATTTTTGGCATCGGCCAAGCGGAGTCCAGCCCCAGCACCTCACCTGAATATTACGATCTCAGGGCTGTGGACGGCCAGGTTAGCAGCGGTCTTGTTGCTAGTTTGCCACCAACTTGGGTCCACGGCGGACAATCACTGGTGTCTTCCACTGAGCCACAGACCACCTAGCTTGTGGCAGCCATGGACAGTCAACTGACCTTGCACTTGAGATAAGCCCCACCTGCTCTGCCACCTTCGGGGAAGCCCTCCTGCTGGCCTGGATCCCCCAGAGAAACCAGCGCTCCTCTATGCTGCCCTCCACTCCCTCGCCCTTACCTTTTAGCCGCAGACACAGTGGCTCAGATTTTCGCCCATAACTTTCTTAGAATCCCATTAAGCCCAGGCAGAACTATTCTGTATTCCAGTTCTAGTTGTCTCCTTATAGCAGTGATAACCGACTTTGGATTAAAGTTATTTATATCTGCATCTTATGTGAAGGGATTGTGTATAGCTTATCCTCAACCTGCCATAACGCCTTGCCCAGAGTCAGCCCTCCGCTGTGGAAACATCCCAGAATTGCTATAAAGTTTAATGCACCAAAAAACGAATGTAGCATTGGTTAAAATGGCAAACAAAGCAAAACTAGAAACAACCAAAATGCCCAATGGTGGGAGATTAGTTAAGGGAAGTATGGTACACTGCATTTCGGGATATTATGCAGCCCACAAAAAGTATGCTTAAAATGAGTGGGTGATGGAGAATTCTTATAATGATACCAAAATATTAGGCAAAATTGTATATTTAGTAGTTACAACTCTACACTAAAAGCAAACAAAACCACAAAAAACTACACTCCTAAGGAAAAGTTGGGCAGTCTTGCCCTGACATGTCCACTTGACTGACTGCAGGGGGCGTGGCCCGAAGTGGCTCAAGCCACATCCCACGTGACCTCAGGCTGCTCTTCCTGGCACAGTGGCCTTGGAGGCCACTTGGTTAAAGATGATTTGCCTGTGGATGGTGGAAACACACAGTCGGAAGCTTTCGCTTCCTTATTTTTCCACAGGCTCTCTGGGAATTTTCTAGGAAGAGCAACCATCACTTTAAAAATAAAAATTAAATTAAAAAAAAAAACTGGTTTGTTGGCCCTTTCTTCTTTTTCTTTTTTTAAAGATTTTATTTATTTATTTGACAGAGAGAGACACAGTGAGAGAAGGAACACAAGCAGGGGGAGTGGGAGAGGGAGAAGCAGGGTTCCTGCGGAGCAGGGAGCCCGATGCGGGGCTCGATCCCAGGACCCTGGGACCATGACATGAGCGGAAGGCAGACGCTTAACGACTGAGCCTCCCAGGCGCCCCAGGCCCTTTCTTCTTGATCATCAGCTGGTGGTTCAACAAGCATTGACTGAGGACCTGGGGCTCTGAGGCCCCCACCAGGGCCGGCACAGGGTGGGCTCTGCCCCCAGATTGCAGGGAACGGATGCTGTCTGCAAGTGGGACCTGGGCCTGCAAATCAGAGCTCAGTCGCCCACCCTGTTGTTTTCCTTTCAGAGCTGTTTTGATTTTTTTTTTTTTTTTAAGATTTTTTTCTTTATTTGACACAGAGAGAGAGAGAGACATGGCGAGAGACGGAACACAAGCAGGGGGGAGTGGGAGAGGGAGAAGCAGGCTTCCTGCGGAGCAGGGAGCCCGATGCGGGGCTTGATCCCAGGACCCTGGGATCATGACCTGAGCCGAAG